TTGAGAACCTTCTTGTCCGTGTCCACCTGCAGAGATTCTCCCACCAAACTGGACCGAGAAGTGCTGTCTGCGGTGGGAGGTGTTGAGATCGACCCACTGAAGTTTCCCAGCGTTCACAAGTGGAAGAGCACAATTCAGTCCTACTCCTGTGCAGAGAGGCAAAGGTTTGTACACCTACACTGTTCTTTTTAAATGAAACAGTAGAAGCCATATCGCCCCCTACACTTCCTGTAGTGTATTACAGTCTGTCAGAGTGACTGTGTGGTCCATGTAAAGTCCTCTGTCAGAGAAAATTACTGGAGTTTCCTTTATTCACTTCATGTGTCTTTCAGTTGGCCGACTCCAGCCGTGCTGAGGAGCTCCAGACTGCAGAATTTGACGCCCGGCTCTCCAGTCAGCAGCCTGGTTTCTCCAGCGGGACGCTACAGCCCGGCCAGATACGCGTATTCCCCGGACTACTCCAGCCCTGGACGCTACAGTCCCGCCCACGCCAGCTACAGCCCAACCCACGGCAACTACAGTCCTGCCAGCTACATCCAGCGCATTCGCCTCAAGCACTTCGGTGACTCGCCTATTTAACGAATGCCTCCCGTTCTCCAGCAGCACCCTGCCCAGCCGAAAGCGATCAGGACGTCCAGCTTCGTCCCTCCAGCCGTAGAACAGGAATCCTAGCATCGAATCTCAGAGCGACAACTTCTGTTTCAGAAAATCACGACTTACCGAACTCGGTACGGAGCTTTGGAGGCATAAACTACCCGTGGTACTTTAGTGTGGGGTACGCCGCGTTATGAATGGTAGTGTATATTTTTAAACAGGTGTCTTTTCTTATGTATGTATGTGTGCGTGTGTACGTTTGCGTGTGAATTTTGTCCATAATTATTTATGGGTAAAACAAAAATACGAGTCAGAAAATTCCAAATTCACCATTTCGTATTAACATTAGTGACCCTGGCCCAGCAAAAAAAACCTGCTCCTCTCTGAGGCATACAATGAATTTATTAGTTACAGTTTCGTTTCTCAGTCTAAGTAGCACAAAATCTTCTGGTTAAAAAAGTTAAGTCTGGGGAAACTGCCTTAATTTTCTGCAGAGACTAGCGTCCTCTTCTCCTTTGCACCTCTGTGCCCCCTACTGGAAGCACTGGTGCTCTATTCACAGTGAATTCTACTCAGATCTGTAAGATTTTGGGGGGGAATAACCTTAATTATGGGTTATAAAGTATGTGTTGATAATAAATATGTATTTGTAAGTGTGCGTATGTTTTGCACTCTTGAAAATCCCCATTTGTTATGTAGGCGTGGTTCTGCCAGAGCACGTCTATATGCAACCACGAATGACCCACTTTGGAACAGATACAACGTAAAGTCCTGTTTTTAACTCTTTTCTTTCATTGATGGTGCAAACTGCCTGGAACATGTTAGACATTTCAAGCGATAGTTTGGCGAAAAATTAGCTCAAATTTAACCAGCCCATCCCAAATGTCGTCAACAAAAACCTACATTGGTGTCAGAAGTTGGCTTCTTTAATTTCAGCACTGGAGCTACAAGGCTAATATAGTTAACAAGTAAGGAAGCTTATGCCCCACTAATTAGCATCTTGCCCAGATCCTCACGATAAATTGTCCATGTTTATTGATGACAGTGTCAGAAGCCACATCAAGTCTATTAGAGGGTATTTAACTCTACACGGCCGTTTGTATGATGCTAATTGGTGTACATAAGCTTTCATTACTTGTCATCTAAATTAGCTCTTGAGGTTACAGGGAGAAATTTTGAAAATCTGATTTTTCGCCAAACTGTCTCCAGTCATGTCTCGCAATAAAAGCACATCGGTCGGAAAACATTCTCAGCGGTTCTTGAGACTTTTTTGTGCACACACCACTCACAGTGTAGTCCTGACCTTTGACCTTTTAGCTCCATGCTTCGTCGAGCTTCTTTAGTGCCTTTCGGTGTATCCGGGAAGAGCCGCAGACAGCTGCATACAAACCGAGCGGATCTCGAGCTTTTGTTTCTCGAGAAATGAGAACGGTACAGTACAGTAACTCTGAGATGTACAGCGCTTTAAAGCGATAGTTTGGCAAAAGTGTCATATGTACACCATTTTCGCCTCCCTGACCCCAAATGTCGTCCATCAGCCGAGACGACTGCTGTTTGACATGGTTCAAAGCAAATGTGTGGTGAATTAGGCTAATTGGTGGGCTATAAGCTTTCATTATGTGTTAGCTACATTAGCCTTGTAGCTCCAGTGCTCAGACTAAAGAAGCAAACTTCAAACATTTCTTGGCTGGTGGACGTCTTTTGGAGTAAATTCCATTTTTCCTGAACTGTCGCTTTAATGCCCTCTGACTTTAAGAATGGAGGCTTTCCTCAGCAGTGCCATCACTACAGCGGAGTCGAGCTGCAGTCGCCATGATGGTCAGTTTTTTTTTGTTTTGTTTTGTTTGTCAGTGCCGGCCCTAATGCATGCGATTCTAGTCCTATTTTATTACGTGTCAAAGGAGAAAGTATTTGATGTACTACTGAGGAACAAAAATAAAGTGCACATTATCTTGTAACCCGTTTCCACTCTTCTTATTCTGAATCAGCTGAAAGGTTCATGATGTTAGAGCATCAACTCAGTGTTCCAGGTGTTATTGCTGTTTTGCTAAATGTTCAGTTTACATTACACAGCTGACCTGCTGATGTAGCCTGAGGCAAATGGCCACTGTTGTTTTTACTCTAATGTGGATGTGTCAGCATGATTACCACTCTGTAATGACTTCTGGGTTTCTCAAACACTAGAGGGCGCTCCTGAGTGAGTCCAAGATGAATGGGTTAATATGGAGCACTTGAGCAAAATCAGTTTATAAATGCTTAAACATTTTTAATTTTAAAGTAATACATTCAGTTCCTGAACACAGAACAGCATAAAACAGTTTAACAGCGCTGTTACGTTTGAGAGCTTTTTGAACTAGAAGTTTAAAATTGTGCCTTATGTACGTTCATGTCAGTGAGCACAAACAGCCAATGAGCTGCTCTGCTCACCAGTCAGCACTCAGTAGCAGTAATGCCAACCAATCAGCGCTCAGTAGCAGTAATGCCAACCAATCAGCACTCAGTAGCAGTAATGCCAACCAATCAGCGCTCAGTAGCAGTAATGCTAACCAATCAGCGCTCAGTAGCAGTAATGCTAACCAATCAGCGCTCAGTAGCAGTAATGCTAGCATCCTGTGCCTAAAACCTGTTGGCTGTAGAAAAAGGAAATATATCGGTAAGATTTCTTTGTTTAGTGAAATCCATCCTTCTACTTTCTAAAATTAAAGGAAAGTTCTGGCTGAGTGATTAGAAACTATGTAACTTTTCAATTTTAGCAGTTTAAGTTTGATTTCATTGAGGACTCGCTCATGGGCGCCCTGTGGCATTTTGCAGTCCTGTTGTTGATATAAAGGGGGAAATAGGAAGAGGCCAGACTCCTCATACACCGGCTTTGGTGTAGGTTATGACATTAACTTTAATGTTAGCTAGCCTCCGGCAAAGCCACAGCCAGACGTGTTCAGCCAACCCAAGAGAGTCCAAGAGAGCAATGCTATCAAATGTTTATCAGTAAAAGCCCCAGTAGACTGACCCTTCACACAAAGTAAATAATATTTAAAATAATAGTGTACTGTAAATGTAGGTATTGTGATATAAACTGAGTCTACAGTTTCTCAATAGGCTGAATGAATAACCGACTCTGAATGTAGGTATTGTGATATAAACTGATTCTGTTCTAGTTTCTCATTAGGCTGAATGAATAACTGGCTCTAAATGTAGGTATTGTGATATAAACTGAGTCTGTTCTACAGTTTCTCATTAGGCTGAATGAATAACCGACTCTAAATGTAGGTATTGTGATATAAACTGAGTCTGTTCTACAGTTTCTCATTAGGCTGAATGAATAACTGACTCTAAATGTAGGTATTGTGATATAAACTGAGTCTGTTCTACAGTTTCTCATTAGGTTGAATGAATAACTGACTCTAAATGTAGGTATTGTGGTATAAACTGAGTCTGTTTTACAGTTTCTCATTAGGCTGAATGAATAACTGACTCTAAATGTAGGTATTGTGATATAAACTGAGTCTGTTCTACAGTTTCTCATTAGGCTGAATGAATGAATGTAGGTCTGTATGAAATGAAGGGGAAAATGAAAGAGCTGAACATGGATGTTTATTCATTTTAATTATACTGTCAAAATCAAAATCAACGTAATGACAAATCTGCACAGACGTTACTGATTAAATGGCGCTGATCATTTGAACTGGGACACGTCGTACTGGCACGTCTTCCTCCCTGAACAGCCCGATGTATTACAAACGACCACAAACACGTATACGAACACTTCGCCATCTCCGGTGCTGGCTTTCAAAAAGGAAATTTGGTTGTAGGCTGTGAAGCTTCTTCTGAAAACCTTCACAAACGTTCAAGTAAACAGCACTTCAGACAGACACCAACTCCACATCAAGGCCTCTGGAGGGGTTTGTGTTAAAACACCCTGAAAAACACCTCGCTTCCCCAAGACCCCAGTCAGGAATCACCGCAACGGAGGCTATTAATCACAACATCCTACATTAATTACACAGTTTGGTGGGAAATCTAATTTACAGTTTGCTCAGTTTTCAAAATTTCTGCATAATTAAGATGTAAACAGAGTCGTTCAGAGTGGTTTGGGGTGAAACGCTCTGTTCTAGAGAAACTTACCGAGTCAGAACTGTTCACAGTGGTGGTGATAGGAACCAGACGTCCACCTCTAAAAAGCTCCCTCACAGAAAGTTACTACATGAAATGGTTATGAATTCACTGCCTGATGACTGAGACACTGTTTTATGGTAGTTTATAGAAGATTTTGGCCTTAAAATCCTTTTGTGGTGGAGGGATACATGCAACACGTTAAAATAGTCCCCAGAAAAAACTTATTTTCTCAGCTTTATCACTATTTTATCATCAACATTACATATAAAAACCTGTGTAGGTTCACTGGTGGTTTTGACAGTAAATAAAATGTCTATATCTGTGTTGTAGTCATGGCGACCCCTGGTTCCTATCACCACCACTGTAAAGACATCTGAACCATTTCACACCAAACCACTCTGAATCACTTTACACTTGACTCCTGCAGAAATTGAGAAGTGTGTGAATTTCTTTTCCTCTTTAGCTTTAGCGCTAGAGCTACAAGGCTATTCTAGCTAAGAAGTGATGTGAACATCAAGTGGCATCATGCAAATACTTGCTTACGTGGATTAACACTGTATGACACTACGAGATACTGTATTTACATACGCTGCATGCTTTCGTCCACTTTTATACATAATTACAGCTTCCATTACTTGTTAGCTACATTAGCTTCACAGCTCTAGCGCTACAACTAAACACTTGGGTTGAAGGTGCAGTGTGTAAGATTTAGTGCCATCTAGTGGTGATGTTGCAGATTGCAACCAACTGAATCCCCCTCCCTCACCCCTCCCTTTCCAAGCGTGCAGCAGGACCAGTGGTGGCTGTCAGGTTTTTGATTCTTTGACTTTGCCTGCTTTATAATTAGTTTGATCCCCCATTTGTCAAAATTTGGGTTCTCAAACTTCTCACAGCACAAAATGGCTGTTAGCACCAGCAGCAACCACTGATGCTTCTTCTTTCTATGTTTTCCAAACAGAGCTACAGCGCCACCAAATTCAAGCCACCACCTTAACGTAAAAATGCAAAAGACGCCCTCTAGAGCCAACCACGCTCTAGAGTGTTTGGTTTGTCCGTGCTGGGCTGTCACTACGCGATTTTAAACTGGAAATTTGGACAACGGATGCACCAAAGTGTAAGTCATTTCCGCTACTGTTTTACAGCTGCTGCCTGATATCGGCTGTTTCTGAAATGTAATAAATGCTGCCGACTCGTACAATATTCTGAGGCAGTGAGGCAGCTAGTCATGTCTGATTTGAATGTTTATGTAAAACGCTGCCTGAGTTTCCTCAGTTTGGTTGCTTTTTTGAAGGCACAGATGTATCCTAGCCTTCTTAAAGTTGGGGGAAAAAAAGATGGTAATGCTAACAGCTAGCAGTGAGGTGTCGTAACTTGGCAACAGCTGATGTATCGCTGCCTTCTTGGTTGCAGGTACGTTCACAATGCTGCCTTCTAAGACACTTATGACTTATGAGACAACAAGGCCTCAAAACAGCTGCCTTCAGTTTCGGACACAGCCTTAAACAACTCAAGCTGACATGCCTTTGCTGCGCATGCGTGGTAGCTGTGAGCGTTAGCAGCTTTTTTCCAGGGAAGCATTTATTACATTTCAGACACAGTGCAACATGGCAGCCTCTGTTGGAAGATGACTCGCTCCCTGTGTAGATATGAAGGGCTCACGCTATGCTAACGAAAACACAACAATTTAACGTTACAGGTGATTATTCGCCACTGAAAACATGGATTTGTTTACTATATTCCATTTCTGCTAATAATCACCTCTAAATCTTCCACACTGCACCTTTAAAGCTGTTTACATTTGATTTTACCGAACTATCCCTTTAATCCATGCCTGCTGTGAGGAAACTCTGGAGTGGCTGAAGCTCCGTTTCGGTGGGTCCTGATTGGGGCTTTAAAGCTGTATAAATAAAGACGACGTGTGCTGGTTCTACCCGTGATAGGTTCAGATGACGAAGCATGGCGCAGGGCCGGCGTTGGCGAAGCTCAGGATCACCTCGCGCTCGAAGCTGGCCCTGAAGTACTAACGTCACCGAAGGAGCTTAAATACAACACCTATAAAAATAATAACGTACAGCAAATTTACTCTCAAGACACTTAAGGAGGAGCTGAGGGAGCGGCAGGCTGCTGAGATATTCCAGCTGATTTAGAAATCTGACGGTCATGCAGGGACTTACATTCCAAACGTCACACGTTTTAATTCTGAAATTACTCAAACGTTCTGGAAATTTCCGAGCTGCCTGCCGCTCCCCCGTGTCGTTAAAGCAACAGTTCATCAAATTACCATATTTACACATTTTCCCGCTCACACAAAATGTAGCCAATCAGGAAATGTTTGGTGAAGTTTGTCTGGAGAGCTATGAAGCTAATGTTGCTAACAAATAATGAGTAATTTACCCCCAATTAGCATGGTGCTAACTGCAGGCCTAAATCTCACTCGAACCAGAGACATTATAAAGGAGGAGGAGACGGTTCACTGGCTGGAAAATGAATGGGAAATTTTGTTAAGTGGGAGTCTGTATATGGGAAAAGCCCCGCCCTCCTATAAAAAGAGCCAATCAGCTTGTTGATAAAGCCGCAAGTTGGTAAAAGGTGCTGTCACTGTGGAGAAACGTGCATTTGCCAAAACAACCTGTGTGTTATTTGACCACATTTGTTTATGTTTACTAGTTATTTTAATGCTTTAAAACCGTTTCAGTTTAAAGGATGGAAGCCTGGTATAAAAACACCTTCGGCCGAATCAAACGAAGCCCAGTTATTCAGTAAATCTCAAAACGTCCTGCTTATGATAAACTTATCTATAACGCAGATGCTGACTGGTGGGTTTACGTTAACTGTTAGCTACATTAGCCTCTAAACTAAACACGTCTGATTGGCTTGATTTGGGTTCAGTGAGAGTGAAGCTGTGTAAAGCTGATTTTTCCGAACTATCGCTGTAAACCGGACGGTGTGGAGTGTCAGCTGCGAGTGAGTTTGTCCGGAGGCATGAAGCCGGAGTCTCCCAGCGCTCTCAGAGCCACTCGGCCGCTCGGACGGATCGTCAGCCACGTGATGCTGCCGTTATTCAAGCCCAGCCGCAGCCAGCCCTCTGGGGGGAACTGCAGAGCTCTGTGACACAGACAGACAGACAGACAGAGAGCACAGAGTTTACAGAGTGGAATTCAGAAACACTCAAATATTTCAGGAAATTCCATGAAACCTCCGTTTTTTTTTTTATGTGAAATGTATTTTAAAAAGCTGGAAAAAGTGCATTTTTTGTAAAGGTATATTTAATATTTTCTGGCAAAACAGAGAAAAAATATTTATTTATTAAATATATATGTATTTTTTTAAATAAATGAATATCTACTTTTTTAATGCATTTATATATAAAATTTCATTCAAATTCATGCGTCCAGATTTTTTAGGTGTTCATTTGGACCAGTTCTGTTGGTCTATTCATCAGGTATATATTAATGTGTACATTTAACATATTTAAAAATATTCCAGACAGAAATATTTTCAACAATCCAAATATATCAAATTAAAATATCAAATATTTTAAACTTAAGTCAACTTTCACTTCAAAATTCAAATTTTTAAAAAATTGCCATCAAATTATACATTTAACACAACTACATTTTAATATTTATATCTAAAATATAAACATTTAGATATAAATATTTAAAATATCAAATTTACATATCAGGCATTTTAAACATTTGAAGTCAACCTTAACTTCAAAATTCAAAATTTTCAAAATGTATGACCTCAAATTAGATAGATTTTAAGTAATTATATTTTAATATTTATATTTAAAATATAAATACTTAAAATAATTCAATTATACAGTTGCAAAGGCTGGTAAAAAGGTATGAATTTAAATAAATTCAGTGATTCACCAGCTTTGCAGTCTGTATAACACACAGTGACCGAATGAACACACACACACACACACACACACACACACACACACACACCTGCAGACAAAATAGCGGATGACGTTAGCGTGACAGACGATGATCTCGTAGCTGTCCTCCTTCTGTTTGGGGTCGGCTCGGTGGATGTAGCGCCGGAACGCAGCCTCGATGCGCGCGCCGTCCTCATGGTACTGCTAAAGCGCACACGCACACAGACACACACACAGCTCATATAACACACACAGGACAGCTCACACTACACACAGCCTGGCGTCTGCGATCTACGATCCACCTCAACACTGATGATCCAACACTCCTCATATCGATAATCTCTGTCTGAGCCACTGTGGACCAAATGGACGTTACTCTGTTTATCAGTCTGGTATCAGCACTGAGCAGTTACTCCTGCGGTGCACTAGGTGGCGCTGAGCTGCTCTCTCTCTATTATTTATAGAATAATTACAGGTAGTTGTTTTGGTTTTACAGCTTGTTACAGAGTTTTGCTTCATAGTTGTTAAATGGTTACAAAGGTGTTGCTAGGCTGTTGCTATGGTATCTCAGGAGGTTGCTAAGATGTTGCCAGGCCGTTGCTATGCTATCCCAGGTGGTTGCTAGGGCGTTGCCAGACCATTGCTATGCTATCCCAGGTGGTTACTGAGGTGTTGCTAGGCCGTTGCTATGCTATCCCATGTGGTTGCTAAGGTGCTGATAGGCCGTTGCTATGCTATCCCAGGTGGTTGCTAGGGCGTTGCCAGGCCGTGACTATGCTATTCCAGGTGGTTGCTGAGGTGTTGCTAGGCTGTGGCTATGCTATCCCAGGTGGTTGCTGAGGTGTTGCTAGGCCGTTGCTATGCTATCCCAGCTGGTTGTTAAAGTGATGCTAGCCGTTAGTCATTGCTATGGTAGCCAACACACCGGGCCCTGACTGTACACTGACCGTGGTGAAATAAGATGTAGAGCTTAAGTTTTTAAAACCATCTTAAATCTAAAAGCATGTGATTCAGGCTCAGATCACCCAGACTCTACACGCCCACCATCGATCCTGGAGCCACTGCTTAAGAAGCTACAAACTGATGTCAGCCACATCTGAGGTTTGGATGTTGGACATCAACACGCAGACAAAACACTCAGATGATGTCATCACTTTGTGACCTCCGCAGTGGTCAGAGATCTGAGGCGGGTCGAGGAAGACTCTCTGAGGTGATCTGATTTGGAATGACCTGAGGACGCACACTGAGCATATCTGACAGGTGAGATACAGGTGAGCAGGAGCACTGACCACAGCCTCTGGTTTCCAGTGGCTGACAGGTGGGATGGGCTCTATGGGGGCACCTTCTCTCAGCAAATCACAGCTGACCATCTCCACTCCTGAAACACACACAATTTACATCATCATCAACATCCCATATAAACTCAGAAGACTCGTGTAGGTTCACTGGTGTCTATATCTGTGTTGTAGTCATAGTGACCCCTGGTTCCTATCACCACCACTGTAAAGACATCTGAAAACAGAAGTTTTAAAGAGTGGTTGGAATTTCCCTTTAATGTGAAAGTTAAGCTAGTGTGTTATCTCAGGTAGCCAATAAATCCAGTGGAGCCCCCCAACACTGGACTTTATCTGTGAGGCAAATACTAACTTACAGTAACTCTCTGATCTCACCTGGCAGGTGCTTGCTGATGATCGTCGCAGTCTCGATGGCTCTGGCCATAGACGAGTGGATCATCACATCATATTTCAGCCCCAGAGACGCCAGCCGCTGACCCACCATCTCTGCCTGCTCACGGCCTGCAGCACAGACGCAACGATCAGGTCATCAGAGGGCCCTCACACCAAGGTAGGTGTTTCTAATATAGTGGCCAGTGAGTGGAAGCACAAGGTAGGTGTTTCTAATAAAGTGGCCAGTGAGTGGAAGCACAAGGTAGGTGTTTCTAATATAGTGGCCAGTGAGTGGAAGCACAAGGTAGGTGTTTCTAATAAAGTGGCCAGTGAGTGGAAGCACAAGGTTGGTGTTTCTAATATAGTGGCCAGTGAGTGGAAGCACAAGGTAGGTGTTTCTAATAAAGTGGCCAGTGAGTGGAAGCACAAGGTAGGTGTTTCTAATAAAGTGGCCAGTGAGTGGAAGCACAAGGTAGGTGTTTCTAATAAAGTGGCCAGTGAGTGGAAGCACAAGGTAGGTGTTTCTAATAAAGTGGCCAGTGAGTGGAAGCACAAGGTAGGTGTTTCTAATAAAGTGGCCAGTGAGTGGAAGCACAAGTCAGGCGTTTCTAATAAAGTGGCCAGTGAGTGGAAGCACAAGGTAGGTGTTTCTAATAAAGTGGCCAGTTATTGGAAGCACAAGGTAGGTGTTTCTAATAAAGTGGCCAGTTAGTGGAAGCACAAGGTAGGTGTTTCTAATAAAGTGGCCAGTTAGTGGAAGCACAAGGTAGGTGTTTCTAATAAAGTGGCCAGTTAGTGGAAGCACAAGGTAGGTGTTTCTAATAAAGTGGCCAGTGAGCGGAAGCACAAGGTAGGCGTTTCTAATAAAGTGGCCAGTGAGTGGAAGCACAAGGTAGGCGTTTCTAATAAAGTGGCCAGTGAGCGGAAGCACGTAGCTGTTCGTGCTGACGTGTACAGCTCGTACCTAAAGGCGTCAGGATTTTCTCTCTGTCTCCGTTTCCGTTCAGGTTGTACTGCGAGTGTCTGATGAGGAAGATGTGGCGAGTGGCTCTGGGTTTGTTGTTGGTCTCCGTTTCGGAGCTGTTCTCCTCTCCGCTGCTTTCTTTCTTCCTGGGGTTCAGCATGAAGGACGGGTCCCTCCTGTGGTGAGAGGGAGGAAAGCACAGCGGACCCTCAGCAGGATGTCTGTTGATCTTTCTCTCAGAGCTTTTCTGAGTGTGTGTCTTGTACAGTTGTGCTGCTGCTGCAATGCTGTGGTTTGTTTCAGGGTTAATAGAGGTTCTATCTTTAGGCCTCACAGCCGTGTGATCAGAGCCTCTGACTAAGAGCTCAAATCCACACAGATGGAGTCAGATCAGCTACACTAATCTCGCTCTCCAGGTTCATTTATCCTGTACCGCTCCACAGCCACACTCGGACGGTAATGTAAATTTACACAAACGATGATACAACTGTGCTCCAAACTCAGTAATGAAGTACTGAGTGTGTGTTACAGGGTCTTACACTGTAGCCTGTATTTTCCCTGATGGTAAAATAGTTACCATGCAATTACCAACTGGACTAGCTTCTGATATCACTTATGAATTTATAATGATGAACTTCTTCTACACAAACAGCATATAACACTGTTAACACCCAGTGGTTCTCCGTCTTTGGTTGGTTAGAAACCAAAATACTTGCACGTTGGCACCTTTCTTACTCTGGATGCATAAATGCAGTATAAAGCTGTATATGTGCGGTATAAAGCTCTGAGTGTGTGTGTGTGGTATAAAGCTGTGTGTGGTAAAAAGCTGTCTGTGGTACAAAGCTGTGTGCAGTATAAAGCTGTATATGTGCGGTAAAAAGCTCTGAGTGTGTGTGTGTGGTATAAAGCTGTGTGTGGTAAAAAGCTGTCTGTGGTACAAAGCTGTGTGCAGTATAAAGCTGTATATGTGGTATAAGCTTTATATGTGTGGTATAAGGCTGTGTGTGTGACATAAAGCTATATATAAAGCTGTGTATGTGTATGTGAGTGTGTACGGTATAAAGCTGTGTGTGTGTGTGTGCGGTATAAAGCTGTGTGTGCGGTATAAAGCTGTGCGTGTGCGGTAAAAAGCTGTGAGTGTGTGTGCGGTATAAAGCTGTGCGTGCGGTATAAAGCTGTGTGTGCGGTATAAAGCTGTGAGTGTGTGTGCGGTATAAAGCTTTGAGTCTGCGTGCGGTATAAAGCTTTGAGTCTGCGTGCGGTATAAAGCTGTGTGTGTGCGGTATAAAGCTGTGTGTGCGTGCGGTATAAAGCTGTGAGTGTGCGTGCGGTATAAAGCTGAGTGTGCGCGTGCGGTATAAAGCTGTGAGTGTGTGTGTGCAGTATAAAGCTGTGCGTGCGGTATAAAGCTGTGAGTGTGTGTGCGGTATAAAGCTGTGCGTGCGGTATAAAGCTGTGGGTGTGCGTGCGGTATAAAGCTCTGAGTGTGCGTGCGGTATAAAGCTGTGTGTGTGGCATAAAGCTGTGAGTGTGTGTGTGCGGTATAAAGCTTTGAGTGTGTGTGCGGTATAAAGCTGTGTGTGCGGTATAAAGCTGTGAGTGTGTGTGCGGTATAAAGCTGTGTGTGTGGTATAAAGCTTTGAGAGTGTGTGCGGTATAAAGCTGTGTGTGTGCGTGCGGTATAAAGCTGTGTGTGTGGTATAAAGCTTTGAGTGTGTGCGGTATAAAGCTGTGTGTGTGCGTGCGGTATAAAGCTTTGAGAGTGTGTGCAGTATAAAGCTGTGTGTGTGCGTGCAGTATAAAGCTTTGAGTGTGTGCGGTATAAAGCTTTGAGTGTGTGTGGTATAAAGCTGTGTGTGCGCGTGCAGTATAAAGCTTTGAGTGTGTGCGGTATAAAGCTTTGAGTGTGTGTGGTATAAAGCTGTGTGTGCGCGTGCGGTATAAAGCTGTGTGTGTGCGTGCGGTATAAAGCTTTGAGTGTGTGCGGTATAAAGCTTTGAGTGTGTGTGTGTGTGTGTGTGTGTGTGGTATGGTATGGTATAAAATAAAGCTGTAGTATAACTGTGTGGTTACTTGTCCCAGTTGCTGTCCCAGCCGGAGCCGTAACTGTATCCCGAGAGGCCCGCGGGCGGCTGCGCGGCGTGCAGTGCGCTCAGAGCGGCTGTGATGGGGGCTTTACTCCACCAGCTTTCCCCACTGTCCTCCCTCAAAGACCCTCTCCTTTCAGCCCAGACCAGCACTGCCGAACCGCCGGCCAGACCGAACACCACCCCGGCGGCCCTGCGGAGCGCCATGCCGGCACAGAGAGCGCAGAGTCCGTTAGGAAGATCCGGGAAGAGCCGCTGGGTCTGGAGCTGACGGTAAAACTCGGTTTAGCTCAGTAACAGCGCTCACGGTCGCGGCGGGCTGACGAACACGGGTCTGTAACCCCACCGACAGAGCCCGGTTTACCGATTAAACCGGAGAATAACGACCGAAATACAATATAAGTTCAGGCTAGCAAACCACGAACATGCTAACTCACGGATTACTCAAACATGGCCGCCGGGAAACAAAATAAAAGTCTCTGCTAACATATGCTTTTTAACAATTAAAAACACTAAAAGACTTAGAAACCACACAACACAGATGATAATGAACTTCTGAAGGCGCGTTTTGTGTCTCTATGAGACAAGTTTTAAACTTGATCTGACCATATATGTGCGAATTAAAAGCACGGTTTCGTATCCATGTAACTAAAGTAAAAGTCGATTTTTTAAAGATTTTAATATTCATTTAATTTTAGGAGTATTTTAACGACAATACGCTTAGTTCTACTATAGTATTTCAGTTATTCAGAATATTTTGAAAGTCCCTCCTCACCTCCTCGCCAGTAGGTGTCAGTGCTGCGCCGAGTGTGGCGGTAAACAGTGCGTGAAGGAGGGAGTCTGTAGTCCTGCAGCTGGTCAACATTTGAGTTTTGATTTGTTTATTTTGTGTTTTTGTGTTAAAGTGACCCATTTTTGGCCTTAAAATCCTGCGATGGACACCGATGAGGAGGGAGAGGCCGAGTGGGACGCGCTGGACTCCGGTATGAAAACGGACTCTGTGACTTTGCTGAGCAAAAACTGTTTTACTAGCAATATTATTTATTTTATTGCAGTTATTGAACTTTAAAGTAATACAAATCGTACAGTAACCGCAATAAAATAAGAACTCAGCAGTAAAGGTGGCCCAGCAAGAAACAGCGTGAGCATTCGGGTTTATTCGGCTTTATTCGGGTTTGTTCTGTGTCCCAGTGATGAGATGTTACCACACCAGTAAAGAGTCCTTCGCAACACCATGTATTCATGTTTCATATAAATACCTTAAAACATTAATAAAAACCTATTTACGGTATTTTGGCTGTTTAAGTCTACTCTAACGATGCTTTACCTTAAAATATAATCATTACTTCAATACTTCAAAAAATATTTTTATATTTTTGCACTAATCTGTGAGTCCATTCACCATTTCATGCTTGGCTTATCCTTTTTCATGAATCATTCACTGTAAGTTATGAAAAATGTACATTTCATTTGTCTCCCACAACATTGTGCTCTTCAGGACTTTAATGAGTACATCGCAACGTACCTAAGCATCAGGCTGACACCCATCGTTCATATTTAAGGCGTTATCTGCAGATACTGATATGATTCTGATATCATCCCTTGTGCTGAGTTCTCCTGTAGAACTGCTGTGGACATCCAACATCTGTCAGCATAAGAGCTGCAGGTCTGTAGTGAACAGAAGCTGATCAGATAGTATCTCTCTCGCTGTTTCAGCTGAAGTGGACCGAGCTGAGGAGGAGGACGGTCAGAGAGTCGTCATTCACTTTGATTTGGACTGCTTCTACGCTCAGGTGGAGATGATCCGAAACCCAGCCCTGTTCAACCAACCCTTAGGTGACCGAAACGTCCTCTAGTAAAGACGTATTGAGGTGTTTTATAGTGTTCAGTCAGTGCAGTTATAAGTCTGTCATGGCGTTTGTCGTCATTTCCACTGCTTCATGAGTCAAACTGTTCCTGAAATTGGTGACACTTCTGCTGTTCGTTTGCAGAGTTTGGGTTTTTGTGCCGTTGTATCTCTTTTAATGGGTTTGATTGGTTTCACACCAAATTATACACAAGTGTTTGTTTATTGGTCGGAAATTGTGCATGACAATAGAGACGCTTAACATCTGTGTGCATCACAGTCAAAGCGATAATAATAAACCTGGCTTGATATCTGCTGCTTTATGATTGTTTGCCCATTTGAATTTGAATTGCTAATGCAATATGTTCCTCAATAGACGTGCCAAAACAAATATGTTACTTGGCTATTACTTTATTGCTGTGCTGTTATTAGCAGCAGCAGGTACAGACATGTAGCCACCAACAGCAAACAGAACCAGAATTCATTCATTTGTGTGGTGTACAGCTCAGAAATGACTCTATCCTGAACTATCAGCCTGTTAAAATGCTTAACACTGGCTACTTTCACTCGCCATGCTGTGTGAAAAATGTACATAAACTGTAGGATTAATGAAAGAAACCATAATGGCTAATGTTACAACAAACATGCATCACCATAAGGAGCTTTTTAAGGAATTAACCTCATAGCGCCAGTGCAAAAAATAAATAAGCAAACTTAAAGCACTGAACATGTCTCATATGATTAACTACGGGGTAAAGGGGGCCATTTTTGTTGACTATGACTGTAAAGCACACCAAGTTCATGTTTAGTCGACATCCAGAATTGTCTTACTTTTCACTCAACCACTTAAAAAAACTGTAGATCACTGTTAACGTCCTCACTGGTTTCTCCTTCCAGGAATTCAGCAGAAGTACCTCGTTGTGACGTGTAACTACGTGGCGCGGGAGCGAGGACTGAGTAAGATGATGGGGGTGAAGGAGGCGCTGGATAAATGTCCTGACCTGGTGCTGGTGAAGGGGGAGGACCTCACACGCTACAGAGAAATCTCATACAAAGTCACAGGTGCTCCAGCAACAACACCTGCTCGGTCCTAGATTACAGTGCAGTACACACTGCTTGTTATGTCCTGTTAGGGATGTAAAAATGCATTTAATGACCAAATTCTCTGGCTTTTTTCTAAAAAATCACAGGCGTCCTTCATAAGATGTTCGTACACATCGATTTTATCTTAAAACAATCGCGTGTGAAAAGGCGCAACTAGAAACATTGGAGTGGATAACTTTTGAACACTGACCCTTTTGGTCAAAGTAAAGTTATATCTTAAATAAAGTTATATCATTCTTATAAGCCCCCCAACTTTGGAATAATCTTCCAGTCTAGGCTAAAAACGTACTTTAGTAGTCTTTGGTATTTAGTTTTCCCTGTCAGATAAAAGGTGCAGATCTGGGGTTTCATGGTCATAGAGTATTATGGTAAACTGGGAGTGTTGGTGCTGTCGTCCTGCTGCTCTCACACACTCACTCAGGTTTGTTGACGTCTCAGGGAGCCTTGTGACCCTGTTATCTGGGTCTCCCTCTTAGTAGGCTGTCTTAGCTCAACCTGCAGGAGTCTCTGCTGCTCTCTGTTAACCCTGTAATCAGTATACAGTGTAAACATAGTGCAGCAGAGACTCCGTTAATACTGTATACTGTAATCAGTCTCTCTTTACAGAACTAACCGCTTGTACGTTTCTTTGCCGAGTTGGAAAAAAAAGTTGCGTAAAAAAGAGTGCAGATTTAACGGCCTCTAGTGACGTATGAGCTACTCTGCGTCTGATTCATGAAAGCTTCGTACGACGTGGAACCGAGCGGAGATTTGAGCGTAAATGACGAATCCGCTTCAGTGTTCGTTTTTATACGATATGGGGAATCCCAGACGACCTGGAACATGGGGAGCATCTGAAATGAGGTGAAAACACTGTAGTGTGAAGGATCTGAAAGGCGTTCAGAGGTGAGCAGGTTAATGAAGCATTAGTTCAGTGTCTGCTGGACTAGACTGACCTCATTACTGAAGGGTTTAATATCCTCTGCTGGCACTACAGTAACCCTGCTTGTGTTTGTGTTTGTGTTCAGAGCTGCTGATGTCGTACTGCCCCCTGGTGGAGCGGCTGGGATTAGATGAAAACTTTATGGACATCACAGAGATGGTGGACAAGCGGATGAAAGAGACAAACATCTCTGATCTCAATTTTGTGGGTCACATCTACGGACACGAGGGTGAGCCGTTCACAGTTCATATCATACATATAGTCGCATGCAAAATAATATTAAAATAATATTAACCAAAATTGTCATGGTAAATCTAAATAATGCCATGACCTCAGTATGTCCAGCGCTGCTGTTTTCAGCTGTGTGATAAACTCTCCATGGTGTTTTCTGCAGCCTCAGCTGTGGGGGTCTGGGATCACTCCAGGCTGGCTGTGGGGTCAGTAATAGCGGCTGAACTGCGGGAAGTGCTGCAGAGCAGGCTGGAATTGACTAGCTGTGCCGGCATCGCTAGCAGCAAACTCCTGGCCAAGCTGGTGTCTGGAACTTTCAAACCAAACCAGCAGACCACGCTGCTGCCCCAGAGCAGGGGGGCGCTGATGGACAGCCTGAGTGGACCCTGCAAAGTGCCCGGTAAGCACGATTATAAACTGTATAATTATATATCTTGTATTACTATATAATTACACTATAATATGTTTCCTATATACTCCCACCCACTTTATTAGACTTTATACTTCCAATTACTGGCCACTTTATTAGAAACACCTACCTTGTGCTTCCACTAAGTGGCCACTTTATTAGAAACACCCACCGTGTGCTTCCACTCACTGGCCACTTTATTAGAAACACCCACCTTGTTCTTTCACTCACTGGCCACTTTATTAGAAACACCCACCTTGTTCCTTCACTCACTGGCCACTTTATTAGAAACACCTACCTTGTGCTTCCACTAACTGGCCACTTTATTAGAAACACCCATCTTGTACCATGGCTGTTGTCATTGGGTGGTGGTTCACTCTCAGCACAGCAGTGACACCGATGTAGTAGTGTGTGGTGCTGGTACAAGTGAATCAGACTGCTGGGATAAAAATGGTCCACTACACAAAAATATCCAGATAAGAGCGGCTCTGTGGTCAGAAACTGACCACTGATGAAGGACTAGAGGATGGAGAACACAACCTGTTCATCTACAGATGATCTACAGTCTCCAACTGAACACCAGTGAGGTGGAGCTACAGGAGAGGGGTTTGAGATACTGTATTGATAAGGGTGAATCTGCTCAAACAGGTCCAAGTGTTATTTATTATTATCTATAACAAACACCTGGGAAAAGATGCTTCTGTAAAAGAGCCATCAGCCACCCAACCACCTCCTCTTCTGAAATGTCTTTTTACATTTTTAATAAAGATATAAGATGAGTGTCAGTTGTGTCGTCTGGTCCAGTTCTGATTTGAGGAGATTAAAAGCTCACTCGGATGTGACCGTCTGTGCCGTGTTCGTTCGTTCGGCCTGCGTAGTGAGCGCAGGTGAGGTGAAGATGGCTTCTGATGGTGGTACCTGATGATCAGGTAATGTCGGGTCAGATTACAGTGATATAAGCGTATTTGAATGGTGGACAGTGCGCAGCTCATCACCGAGGAAAATGACCGTCTTATGTGTCTCATTCTGATTTGTGTGTGAAATCGAGCTGAAAGTGAAGTGGATCCGATTGCAGAAGGCAGCTCTGACCCGCAGATCAGGAGTGACTCACTGTGGAGGGAGAGAGAGAAAAAACACACCTCTGTTCACGGAAAAATGTATGTATGAATTATAAATTATGTAAATCAGACCATTTTATCAGAGATCCCTCTCCTGTAGCTCTGCCTGGTGTTCAGTTAGAGACTGTAGATCATCTGTAGGTGTACAGTTTGTTCTCCATCCTCTAGTCCTTCATCAGTGGTCAGTTTCTGACCACAGAGCTGCTCTTATCTGGATATTTTTGTGCATTGGACCATTTTTATCCCAGCAGTGACACCGCTGTGTCTGATACACTCGTACAAGCACCACACACAGAGCTGCTCTTGGCTGTTTTTTTTTTTGGGTGGACGGTCATACCAGCACCACACACACTACCATGTCAGAGTCACTGCTGTGCTGAGAGTGGACCGCCACCCAAATATCTGAATGGCGGTCCTGTGGTCAGAAACTGACCAATGATGAATGGAGTAGAGGGGCCGATAAACTGTGAAGCAACAGATGGACTAGTCTGTAACTGAACACCTACCTAGTAGAGCTATAAAGTGTTTCTAATAAAGTGGCCAGTGAGTGGAAGTACAAGGTAGGTGTTTCTAATAAAGTGGCCAGTGAGTGGAAGCACAAGTTGAGTGTTTCTGATAAAGTGGCCATTGAGTGGAAGCACAAGGTAGGTGTTTCTAATAAAGTGGCCATTGAGTGGATGCACAAGGTGAGTGTTTCTAATAAAGTGGCCAGTTAGTGGAAGCACAAGGTGGGTGTTTCTAATAAAGTGGCCATTGAGTGGAAGCACAAGGTGAGTGTTTCTGATAAAGTGGCCAGTGAGTGGAAGCACAAGGTAGGTGTTTCTAATAAAGTGGCCAGTGAGTGGAAGCACAAGGCAGGTGTTTCTAATAAAGTGGCCAGTTAGTGGAAGCACAAGGTAGGTGTTTCTACTAAAGTGGCCAGTTAGTGGAAGCACAAGGTGGGTGTTTCTAATAAAGTGGCCAGTGAGTGGAAGCACAAGGTAGGTGTTTCTAATAAAGTGGCCAGTGAGTGGAAGCACAAGGTAGGTGTTTCTAATAAAGTGGCCAGTGAGTGGAAGCACAAGGTAGGTGTTTCTAGTAAAGTGGCCAGTTAGTGGAAGCACAAGGTGGGTGTTTCTAATAAAGTGGCCAGTTAGTGGAAGCACAAGGTAGGTGTTTCTAATAAAGTGGCCAGTGAGTGGAAGCACAAGGTAGGTGTTTCTAATAAAGTGGCCAGTGAGTGGAAGCACAAGGTAGGTGTTTCTAGTAAAGTGGCCAGTTAGTGGAAGCACAAGGTGGGTGTTTCTAATAAAGTGGCCATTGATTGGAAGCACAAGGTGAGTGTTTCTGATAAAGTGGCCAGTGAGTGGAAGCACAAGGTAGGTGTTTCTAATAAAGTGGCCAGTGAGTGGAAGCACAAGGCAGGTGTTTCTAATAAAGTGGCCAGTTAGTGGAAGCACAAGGCGGGTGTTTCTAATAAAGTGGCCAGTGAGTGAAAGCACAAGATGGGTGTTTCTAATAAAGTGTCCGGTAAATGATTACTGTGGTATTAATGAGGTGTTACAAGCTGTTAAACTGTGGCAGGTATCGGCCACAAGACGGAGGCGAGGCTGAAGGCTCTGGGTGTGAGCAGTGTGAGAGACCTGCAGATGTTCCCTCTCAGAGAGCTGATCCGGGAGTTTGGAGAAGCCAACGGCAAACGCATTCAGAACCTCGCCTGCGGCATTGACCTTTCTCCAGTGACCCCTGCAGGACCTCCACAGGTAACGCTGAGGATGTGGTGGAGATTTTGATGCTGTTAAAGGTAGAACAGTTTCAACTCCTACTGTAAATGCAGTCGATCAGCCGGGACACGTCTGGTGTCTGAAGTTTGATTCTTTTTTTATCGCACTGGAGCTACGAGGCTAATGTAGCTAACAAGTACTGGAAGCTTATACAACACCAATTAGCATGGTGCTAACTGCATGTCTACATCATGACCTCATCGCTCCAGTGTAACATTAAACACGCAAACTTCAGACACCGAACATGTCTCAGCTGATCGACTACATTTGGGGTTAATTTGAGCATTTTTACACTAATATGTGCTGATTGTGTTATGGGAATTTCTTTTTGCTGTTATCATAGATATGTGGTTACATAATACTTTAATTCCATTTTAATATGCATGTATTTGGAGTTACAGTATAATGAAAACAATACTGTTAGTGTCACATCGTCTCATATGAAACTTCACATGCAGTAGAAACATGTTAACGAGTAACTAGCAATCCTGCTGTCGAGAGTCTGTTAATCTGTAGGACTAAAAGAAAGTGTTGCCTGTTTTAGAGTGAGTTTTGGGGTTTTGGAGGTTTTTAATGTGTTGTTTGCTGTTTCAGTCCATGAGCGATGAGGACTCCTTTCAGAAAATCTCCACAGTGAGTGAAGTGGAGAGTAAAGCGAAAGATCTGCTGATCAGCCTCTGTGAGAGGTGAGCTTCACTATGAACAGTAATAGTACTAATAATAACTGTATGCACAAACCTGCCATTAGAATGGCTTAAAAATCGGTCGGGGTGATCATATGATAACCAAAATTATCCAAATCAAACAATTTTAGACTACATAATGCACGCTTGAGGTATTTTTGACAGAGTGATGGCGTTCTGTTCCTCAGTCGGGTATCAGCGGTTGCTGCGTCACTACACTTGGTGGCGCTGTGTGTCTTTTTCTCTCTGTAGACGGGGGAGAAGAAGTCTAGCCGTTCAACACACAGTTAGAATTTTTAGCTTTTTTCCACCCTGAGCACTTTCATCGGTCTTCGGTGCCTTTGGAACATTTTGGAGCATTTTATGTTCTGTCTTTTGTATATTACACCAACATTGGCATTGTGTGTTTAGGATGCGTAAGGATGGCCGGCTGCCTCAGACTCTGAGACTGAGCCTCAGACGGTCCTCTACAGACACTCTGAGCCGCTGTTTCAGCCGAGAGAGCCGACAGTGCCCGATACCCAAACACACCGCACACAGGATTATAACAGGTAAACACACACTCTGTTACGTCTGGTCTGCTGTGTTTGAGGTAAATTAAGGGCCGTTACGACGTCTGTTTACGATCGTTTGTTGTTTATTGTGCTGTTTGTTCATTCAGGCTGCAGTGAGGCGGTGCCCCAGCTGGTTTCCATAGCGATGAAGCTGTTCCACAGAGTGGTGGACGTCAGTGGGCCGTTCCACCTGACGGTGCTGAACGTCTGTTTCAGTAACCTGCAGAACAAAACGCCCAGCAGAACCTCCATCAGCTCCTTCTTCACACACAGCGCTGCTACTGCAGCACACACACACACACAGGGACAGGTGAGACACACACACACACAGGGACAGGTGAGACACACACACAGGGACAGGTGAGACACACACACAGGGACAGGTGAGACACACAGGGACAGGTGAGACACACACACAGGGACAGGTGAGACACACACAGGGACAGGTGAGACACACACACAGAGGGACAGGTGAGACACACACACGGGGACAGGTGAGACACACACACAGAGGGACAGGTGAGACACACACACAGAGGGACAGGTGAGACACACACGGGGACAGGTGAGACACACACACACACAGGGACAGGTGAGACACACAGAGACAGGTGAGACACACACACACAGGGACAGGTGAGACACACAGGGACAGGTGAGACACACACACACAGGGACAGGTGAGGCACACACACAGGGACAGATGAGACACACACACGGGAACAGGTGAGACACACACAGGGACAGGTGAGACACAGGGACAGATGAGACACGTATACACACAGGGACAGGTGAGACACATGCACACGGGGACAGGTGCGACACATACACAGGGACAGGTGAGACACATGCACACGGGGACAGGTGAGACACATGCACACAGGGACAAGTGAGATACACACACATGCACACGGGGACAGGTGAGACACACGCACACGGGGACAGGTGAGACACACGCACATGGGGACAGGTGAGACACGCACATACACAGGGACAGGTGAGACACACACGCACACGGGGACAGGTGAGACACACGCACATGGGGACAGGTGAGACACACACACATGGGGACAGGTGAGACATGCACACGGGGCAGGTGAGATACACACTCACAAACACACAGGGACAGGTGAGATATACATTGAAAATCTAGGATCATTTAAACCTGGAAAAAACAACAGAACATTTTAGAATTTGGAAAAATTTACAGCAAAGTTCAGACTTATAAAATGAAGTAGAAATATTGAAGATTCTGCATTGTTTTTTTTGTGAATATTCAAATTTAAGCAAATTGGCGACAATGACCATAATAATGTCTTTGTACACAAACCTGTGGCGTTCATGGCAGCTTGAGTGCACACTGTCATTAAAACGCAGAATAGAATTCGTAATAAATCTTCTGTTTAAATTGCAAAGGAATGCAAAATAGAAGCATTTTCAATGGTGGTCTCAAACTTTGGGACCCCACTGTATACTTGTGAGGACGTCCAGTGATTTCTGTTGATTTCTGTATTACTATAGCCAAATAATACCACACCTACACTCAACTTAACTTAACCTCAGGCAGCTCTGCTCTTTTTCCAAAAAAAGTTGAATTTGTTGTGAAAACAGTGTGTTTAAAAGCTAAATGTCCAGCTAAATGTCCTCACTTGTGCAAAACTGTTCTGTTGTGCTATCATTGTGAGGACATGTGGTGCTAGGGATAGTAAAACAAGTACACAGGTAGAGGTGAGATATACACACACATACATAAAACAATAACTAAATTTAGTGATGAAGTTTACAAAAAATACAGAATGAATCAAAAAACAAACAAAGTGTCTAGGAACTGAAAAATACATGCGTGTAAGTATTGTAGTGTTAAGGATTGGTTGGAAACTAAAAGGTTAAACTTAAAACGCTCAACAGAAAACTGTCCAATCAGGATTGTTTTCTCTGTGGTATCTAGGTAGCTACAGCTAAGCGAGCTCTCCCATTGGTTAGGACTTCAGGAGCTGAACTGAAGGCCTTACATGTTTTAGATGATTTACAATAGATGTGATAGAAAATGTAGTCCTTCTGGAGGTTCTAGATACATCACTGACTGTGAAAACGAGTTGTAGTCCAAGCAAGTTCAGTTGTTAGGAATGGAAAACAGCGGCGGCAGCTCTAGTCCCGGACTCTTTACTGAAAGAGTCACTGTAAAACTGAGAGATACAACCTCAAATATATGTTAATAAAACATGAAACGTCTTTTACAAGCTTAAAATATTTTTTCTAGCATGGGCAAAATTTTTTATGTGCATTGTCGTTAGCTCAACGCTAACGTATTATTAGAAACCTCATAGAAGTGCTAACAGAAATTAGCATTCACCGGTGGTAAATATAAATGCTTTCATCTCTTTTTCTTTTTTACCTCTCAGGAAACAGAGGCAGATCTCAGTTTGTGTGAGGGTTCGTCCAACTTCACTCAGCCTGACGACACTCAGAACAGTAATGAGTTTAAGCACACGCCCCTCTCGACTTCATCATCGTCATCAAGTCAGAATTCACTGCCACAGCCAATCAGGGCCAAATCCTCCACATCTCCCAGGAAACCAGTTCTGAAACACTCAGGATTGGACATGAGAGATTCCGGGATGGCCAACATCGTAGAAGAGAAGACGTGTTCTAGACTGCCTCCTCACGTTGACCCAGACGTCTTTCATGCTCTTCCAGAACACATCCAGATGGAGCTCATGGCGAGTTTCCAGACTGGAGCCTCTGTTCCGGAAGGTTCTATGGAAAATCTGCCCTCAGGTCATACCGAACAGCCTGGGGAGCAGAATCAGATTCACATAAATCAGCAAGAAACGCCACAACATGCTCAGTTAGCCCTGAATGAGAGCAGCCGCGTGGTCCGTAATGATGATATCAGCGCAGAGGATGCCCAAAACGATGACCTCTCCATGGAGGATCAAAGGTCGCAGGACAGCAGAGCTGCTGAGAGTCGCCCACTTGCTCAAACAAGCCACCCTGACGTCCCACCTAACGTAGACCCACTGGTCTTCTCCCAGCTTCCCTCAGACATGCAGAAAGAGCTGCTAGCAGAGTGGAAGCAGCACAAACCTGCGCTGAAAATATCCTCCAAACAGGCAGCCAAGCGCTCGCCCAAACACACGGCGGCCCGAGATCGCAGACCTGCGGCCAAAGGCTCTCAGAACAACAGCCTGCTGAAGTATTTCAAACCCCACTGAGAGAAAAACCGCACTGTTCCTCTCAGCTAACTGCTAGCTAGCTCAGTTAGCCTGCTAGTTAACTCATTAGCCTGCTAGCTTTGTCAAAACACTGCATTTTTGTTTTGTTTTGGTTTTTTTTGCGCTTTTTCCACATTTACAGTCCACCATCCATGTGTATGTGCCTTATATCTCAAATCTTCTGTTTGTTTTTAGCCTTAGCGTTCACGAATCAGTCCAAAAACATTTCGTTTACCTCGCTACGTTAACCACAGGCACATGCTAATACATCACAGCGCTACAGAATGCCTGTTCAGACTGTGAAGTATTTGAGTTGTACATTTGTAAATAAGCTATATGCAGAATTCTAAATGTATTATGTATAATTTTATTTTTTTTATTAAAATATTTTGCTAATAAACACTTTTTGTGTGATGTTTTATGCCATGAAACAGAATCTCAGAGAACACACACAGGTTCAGTGACTAAAGATCACATTGTTTTTTGCCCCCAACAATAGAATTTCTCCCTTGTGTACATTTTAACATGTTTTTCTTAATTTTCCGTCATGCTGAAGTTTGATCGTCTTTACTGGCGCTAAGGGTTTGGGCGCTAAAGTGAAAAGGCCTGGGCCAAAGTCTGCGCTTGAGTACACATTGATGTGACATATTTCCAAATTTAGCAAAAGTAGGCTGAAAATGTTGAAAAAAATTTTAAATTCTGTCAGGCAGCTTCATTAGTTTCACAATTTTGTATACTTTTTTGCATTTTTGTCCATCACTGTTCACTACAATACCCAGCATGCATTGTGTAAATGTGTCCACAGCCATGAGGAATACCAATAAAGAAATTTATTGATAAAGAAGCTAATAAATCGCTGTTGGAAGAAAACCCCGTATCTCCGAAATGAAAACTTTACAGGAGCAGGAAAAAACCTACTTTACTTTTAATGTAAGTCAATGGAACCAGAATTTTTTCCAAGTCATTTTGGGTCGTTTCTTTTGGTCCATTCATCATGAAATTTGCACACAAAGTAAAGGGCAACAGACATTTTCAAATTATGTCAAAAACTGAAAAACGATACAAGGTTTTCTTGCAACAGCAGCGAAATACAGTCATGATATTCTGCTCTAGCAGTAATGTTGGCCACCTGACTTCCTTTTGGGCCCCACATTTCAAACAGCCTGCTGTGAAGAATTCGTCCCAAAGTGCCTGTAGTTTCTAAAGGTTCCTCCCACCTTCAAGTTACATCATCAGAAGGTGGTTTTCTCAGTTGTTGAACTAGAACATTTCCCTTTAAAGGCTACTGCTACCCCGCTGTGGGATGTGAGTTGGCATGTTTACAACAGATTTAGTGATTGTTACGTTTTTTGTTTTGACTGGACTTTTGCGCAATGTTAGCGTTCAGAAGGCTGTGTCCTAAACCACATACTGCTATAGGCTTAATATACCTGCTATTTAATGTGGTAATATGCCATTTTGGACTCAGCCAGAGCATTGAACTGTTTACTGAACGCTTCCTTTGACTGTTTCGATGAATCGAGCTTTCAATTCAGTGATTCACGTAAACTTTACTCTCATAACTTTCATACACAGTTAGACTGGATTGAGGGAGTTAGTGAACTACTTCTACTGACTAACGGAGCCGGACTCAAAATGTGCAAAGCTCAAACAGAAAAGGGAGATTAAATATGTGAATTTCAAATCTTGTAATTGTGTTACGTTACAAGGGGAATGACACTGATTTTTCAAAAGTTCTCCATAATTAAATATATAAGATGTAAACAATCATTCAGAGTGGTTTGGTGTGAAACGCTCTGTTCTAGAGAAAATTACTGAGTCAAAACTGTTCACAGTGGTGGTGATAGGAACCAGACGTCCACCTCTAAAAGCTCCCTCACAGGATGTTATTAGAAGAAATGGTTATGAATTCACTGCCTGATGACGGAAACACTGTTTTACAATAATTTTAAGAAGGTATTAGCTTAAAATGTATTTTAACCCATTTATTTAATCAATTCATGGTGGAGGGATACATGCCGGGTGCTGTGAAGCAAAATAGTCCCCAAAGAAATTTGATTTTCCACTATTTTCCATCATCAACATTCCATATAAACCCAGAAGACTCGTGTAGGTTCACTGGTGGTTCTGGATAGTAAATAAAATGTCTATATTTGTGTTGTAGTCATGGCGACCCCTGGTTCCTATCACCACCACTGTAAAGACATCTGAACCATTTCACACCAAACCACTCTGAATCACTCTGATTACAGCTCAACCACTCAATTAGGAATATTTTTAAATGGGTGGATGTCCCCTTTAACCGTGACTGCACTAGAAATCTACTCGTGCTGTCCGAGTTTTAACACGGGCACAAACGTTACAATAAAAATGGCACTTGTGAATCGATTCGGCCAGTTAATTAAAAAGGAACCGATTCAAATGAACGATTCATTCACGAGTCAGCTCCTTGAATGCGCCGAGCGGTTCGTTCAAGCGGGCACGTGACCTCGAACTCGCTTGGCAACACGTCGTAAGCGTCGCTAAGGAGGAGATCACGTGATCTCGACTTGCCTGGTTACCGTAGAAAGAAAGCGTCGCCAAGGAGACGGCGGAACCGGGCCCGAGCGCGCGATGAGTTCCAAATCTTTGATGTTTTAGCCGTTTTCGCGCGCGGAGAGGGTCGAAGACTCGAGGAGCGCGAGCGGAGCGAACCGCACTGCAGTGCTCCGGTAAGTCCGCACGCGAGCTTAGCGCGCGGTTCAACTCACGAGTCTGAGGTCGGCTTCCTATTCGCCAGCTTCTTGTTGGAATTTTCCCGTTCCACCTTAAATGGCGCAGCAGTTAAGGTGGAATGGGAGAAGTAGAACAAGAAGGCGCCTGAATAGAACAGCTGCACCATTTAAGGTGGAACGGGAAAGTTGAACAACAATATAAGTGCTGCACCATATAAGGTGGAACGGGAAAGTTCCAATAAGAATGTAAGTGCTGCACCATTTAAGGTGGAACGGGAAAGTTCCAATAAGAATGTAACTGCTGCACCATTTAAGGTGGAACGGGAAAATTCCAACAAGAAAGTAAGTGCTGCACCATTTAAGGTGGAACGGGAAAATTCCAAGAAGAATGTAAGTGCTGCACCATTTAAGGTGGAACGGGAAAATTGAGTCTGCAGTCAGAGCGCGCGGACACGGGGCGTCTCGAGCGCCGGGCTCGGACGCTCTAATGCGATGAGACGCTAATGCAGCTAATAGGATTCAGGGCCTTTCCGCCCTGCGGCTAAAGTGGAGCACAGAGCGAGCCTAAGGGCAACTCCACCCATGTTTCAAAATCTCTGCCTAATTCAGTGTTTGAGGTGTAAACAGAGTCATTCTGAGTGGTTTGGTGTGAAATGGTTGATTGTACACACTTGAAAAAGACGGTTCTTCAAGGGTTCTTTAGTAAAGAGAATGGTTCTATATAGAACCATGAATTCTAAATCGTCTAGTCTGCAGTGGTGGTGATAGGAACCAGGGGTCGCCATGACTACAACACAAATATAGACATTTTATTTACTATCCAAAACCACCAGTGAACCTACACGAGTCTTCTGAGTTTATATGGAATGTTGATGATGGAAAATAGTGGAAAATCCAAGTTTTCTTTGGGGACTATTTTGCCTCACAGTGCCCTACATATTATGAATCCCTCCACCATTAATGGATTTTAAGGCCAAAATCTTGTCAAAACTATCGTAAAACAGTGTCTCAGTCATCAGGCAGTGAATTCACCACCATTTCATGTAGTAACTTTCTGTGAGGGGGCTTTTAGAGGTGGATGTCTGGTTCCTATCACCACCACTGTGAACAATTCTGACTCTGTAAGTTTCTCTAGAACAGAGCGTTTCACACCAAACCACTCTGAATGACTCTGCTTACATCTTAACTACTTAATTATGCAGAAATTTTGAAAAATCAGTGGAGTTGCCCTTTAAAGAGGGACAGAACTCACTTCAGTCTGCTGTTAGTGACGCTCCTGCAGTAAACAGGGGACTGTAGACTCTCCAATTGTGAGGATTATAAGTGCTTAATCTGGTTAAACTGTTCAAACGGTGTCAATGTTTTGCACAGTTAAATACTGAATATGTGAGCAGATCTTTTCAAGTCCAGAGTCGACTCCGAGATTTGATTCCATACAATTAGTCAATCAATCAATCAATCAATCAATCTGTCAATTAGTCAGCCTTTATCGACTCAGAAGTACATTGGCTTACAGCGTAGCCTAGCAAGTTAAAAAGTAATTAAAAAAGTCATTTAAAAATATCCTGCGATGGACTGGCGACCTGTCCAGGGTGTATCCTGCCTTCCGCCCAATGACAGCTGGGATAGGCTCCAGCACCCCGCCGCGACCCAGAAGGATAAGCGGTTTAGATGATGTATGTATGTATTTAAAAATATTAAAAAGTAATTTAAATTAAATTTAGTCAAGTAAAACAAGTCACGACTGAATGAACAAAGAACATTTATATAAAATATGTAATAATACAAATTAAAAGTAAATTTCAAAAAGAACTAAGATAACAAACAATAACAAAAACAAAAAAAACATTACAAATTAAATCATTCAGTAAAATAAAATAGAATTAACGTCAAGTAAAGGTGGTTGGAGGTGGTTAGAAATGAGAGGTTTAATATGGTGGAGTGACACCAGCGAGTGGCGCTGCAGAGTCTCCTGCAGTGTATTCCAGTTCGCTGTTCACTGCAGCTGAAAGCAGATTTCCCCAGGTCAGTAAAAGCTCTGAGCTCAGTCACTTGAGCGAGTCTGATAAACACTGTTATTTACAGAGAGTGTAGACGTGATGTACACGTATCACGTCTACTCCAGTCCAGGAAATAACACACAGGGGAGATCTGGCTCTCCTGCTCTGTAGGCATCGGTTATCTTCATTTTCAGATCCTCAGCCAGCTGCTCAGAGGAGCTGCACAAAGTTTGAAGAGTCAGAGAATTTATTACAGTCTAGCTGTGTTTAAAACTGAGCCCTGTTCACTAGTTAGCTCACTATTTTGGGGTTCCACCATTTTGTAGTGATGTCTAGAAACACCAGAAGATCCAGCACACTCAGACAATCCCACAGTGCACTGCAACAAGTAGAGTACAACCGATATACCCTAGCCCAGGGGTTAAGAAGAGTCATTTTGTCCTTTCAACAAATATCAAAGATATTTTTGTCTGTTTCACCATCTTGGCTGTAAGTGTGTCTCAGTATGTGCTGATGTACTAATACAGGCCAAAAACTGTAATATAAACAAAAACGCAGACTGACTTTGCTCTGCTTTAAGCTTTAGCTCAGCTATGGCCGCTTTTCTCGCATCTCTGGCAGGGAAACTCCGCAAAAGTAGAACAGTTTCTTATAAAATGTCTCTCATTGTTCGAAGAGCTGCATGTTGCCGACCCCTGCACTAGCGGGGGATACCCACAATGCACTGCGTTGTTCATAAGTAATGTGCAAACCCGTATAACACCAGTGTCTGAAATTATTTACAACCATCACGAATTCTGTTCTCTGTAATAGTGATGGCTCTATGTAGTGATCCAGACTTTTGAACGTAGCGTACAGTGATTAGGGGGCTATTTTGGACATGGCTGGTAGACTCCTAATGACCTGCCTAACCAGTCCTAACGAGTCAATTAAGGCCTAACGATTTCATTAAGTTCTAAGACTTCACACACACTTCTGCACATGCACTTGTTTTTAATGGTTTTCTGCAGAAACCTTGTTTATTACTCATTAAAAGTGAGAAATATGTGTTTAAATGTGTTAAAGGTTGCGGGTGAGAGGAGTGGGCGGAGTGGACGGTGCTGTTTGAGATGACTGCAGTTTGGTGAGAACGCGACCACTCACCTGGCCGGCTCTGGTGTGAGTGACCGCAGCCATGGGCAAACTCCAGAGCAAGTTCCGCCGCCGCTCTGACCTCTACAAGTGAGACACCGCTGTCCATACACGCTTACATGTTTTTAAACATTCATAAACATTTTGTTTTTACTTTTTGTCATAATTTATTTTTATTATAATAAAACATAAAATATAAAAGTACCTTTTCAGCAGTGCTTTTATTTTGTAACTTCATTGTGTTACTCTGCGTATCACGCTGTGCTACTCTAAACTCTTTTATTTCTTTATTAGTCTCACCTGTGATTATCATTCATCAATTTTTACTTATTTTTTCATGTCTATTTCATGTCTTTTATGTTCTTATAACTTGTGCAAAACACTTTGCATTACAGACATTTGTGTAAACGTTGCTATATAAATGATTGTTACCTGTGCAGGGCCAAGGAGGGGGCGGAGCCTGCCCCTGTGCCTCAGGTGGTGCAGTATGAACCAGCCCACTCTGGCGCTATTAACTGTGTTACCTGTCTGACCTCTGACCTCTGTGTGTCAGGTGGGATTGACCAGGTGAGTGGAAAAGAGCATAGAGTGCTGGAAGTGAGAGAGTGGGGTTAAAGTGAGCTGGTGAGAAAGTGGGCGGAGTTAGAGTGCCATTGGTGAGCTATTTAGCATAAGTATTTTTCTCATGCTTTGTAAGGATTTTGAGGTTTAAATTAAGCTATATATTGGTTATAAAGTGTATGTATATGCGTTTTGAAGTGTATATTAAGCTTCATATTGCTTATAAAGTAAGTATAAAGCTATGTCCAGGGTATGAAATGTATATAAAGCTATATATTAGTTATAAAGTGTGTATAAAGCTGTGTCTGGGTTATGACGTGTGCATGCTCTAATCCAGGCCGTTATGGTTTATGACTGGAGAGCTGGGAAGCCCTGCAGATCTTTTCATGGCCACAGCAAGGAAATCACCAAGGTAACTTGCAGGAGTAAAAACTTATTAATGTCTGCTAACAGTCTTCTTAATATGTCACAACATGTTTTGAGCTGTTATTATCATACATCCATATGAGTATCAATACACAACATGATTCTACACAGCGAGAGAGAAGAAGTCTGGCCATTCACTCACAACACCAGCAGGACAGTTAGCAGAGTAAGCTATTATTAAGGGAAGGCAATATGATGATATTTTATACGCTTTCCTGTGTATTTCATGGATATCGTCAGTACCTAAGGAACACTGACTAACTACGTGTATTTTTAGATGTGGCAGTAAAGGTTCTATTTTGTGTATTCCAACTTATTTAAATTAATCTACTAAAAAAAAAACTAAATATCGTGATACTAAATATCCTGAAAATGCTCTGTTGTAAACATAACATTTTTCCATATCGCCCAGCCCTAGCTAGCATTACATACTTGTGATCTGTAAGAAATAATATTATTTTGCAGCAGAAAGCATTTCTTTAGTGGCTTAAAAATCTTGCTCACTTTCCAGTTCACCGACACAAATAGCCAATTGTTTTAAGTTGTTTCATGTTTAATGATGAAGGTTAAATAGTTGATGTTGTTGCTTCTGCTCTCCTGCATCACTGACACAGTGCGGTGTTGCCAGATTGGGAGGGATCCCACAGATCAGCCTTTTAATAAAATAATTAAATGAAAATAACTGTTTCATAACTGTGTAGTGTTTTAAGTTTCATTAAAAGGCGTACATAAAAAACAGTGTAATGAAATAGAATTTATGCAACAGTACAACAGCAAATTAACAGTAATAATTATTTAAAAGGACAACAATAATAATAAATAGGGGTGTAACGATACATCGCGACACGATACATTGCGTTGCAAAAATGTGACGATGTGCATCGCGGAGATGGATGACAACAAGTACGTTCTGTTTATTATGCCATCTAATGCAATCACATTTTTGAACACCAGAGGGTGCAGTTGATTTTACCCACACCAGCACATCATACATCATGCTCCCATACACCACAGTCTTTAGCCTCAGTTGGTGTTTTTTATTGCAAATCACACGAGGCCGTTTTCTGTAGTCTATAATGACAGATTTCAGCTTTTGCTGAACGCGCTGGAGCCCAAGTACAGAGATCCGTCTCGTCCGCGCTTCAGTCGCTCTGTTTTATCAGCCCGGTACAATGAAACAAAAGCAAACGTGATGCAAACTTTCAAAGAGGCAGACAGCGCAGCAATAACAACAGTAGGGTGTGTTTCGAGGGCTACCCAGCCCACTTTCCAAAATCTTTAGAAAAAAGGAATATTTCCACCTGGATATTTAATATATGCTGAAGCTACAATAGAATATTTTGTTTGTAGAACAGAAATCCATATTCATCAGACCAGGATACGTTTTTCACTCCTCAACTGTCCAGTTTTGGTGACCCCCACTGCAGCCTCAGCTTTCTGTTCTTTGCTGACAGAAGTGGAACCCAACATGGTCTTCTGCTGTTGTAGCCCATCCACCTCAAGGTTTGATGTGTTGTGCATTCGGAGATGCTTTCCACTCAATACAGTTGTACAGAGTGGTTATCTGAGTTACTGTAGCCTCTCAGCTCGAACCAGTCTGGCCATTCTCCACTGACCTCCCTCATTAGATAATGAGATAATGAATGAGTAGAGGTGCAGGTGCTCCTGATAAAGTGCTTGGTGAGTGTATATTTGTGGATACTGATCATCTATATTGAATAATATGAAGAATAACGTCATGGTAAGATTTTTGGCTCCATCATCCAGCAACAAATTGAAGATTAATTACACATCCTTAAGCAAAACTGTGTTTGTGTGTCCAGCTGACCTGCTTTACGGGCAGCACGTGGATCTTCAGTGCATCGCGGGATAAAACCGTGCTGATGTGGGACTTCGCAGGAGGGTCGGACCCCATCCAGACGTTCTGTGGACATGAGCTCGTCATCAACGGAGTCGCCGTCAGCCCAGGTCAGCCACACACAAACAGACTTTGCTGACTCAGAAACTCTTTAACATCATTAAAGGGTTGAGATTCTACATTTTTCTTCCTCATCACCTCAACATAAACAGGTGTGGCTGAACTGTTGTAGGCTAAAAGGGCTGTTGTATGTTTGTTCATGGTTGTGACATCATAAAATGGGCTGTTTTTGTAGTTTAGTTGCCATATGTAGACTGTATGGACCGGGAGTGAACTGTACACTTAGTTAACGTACTGCAGGACATTCTGTTTTTCTATTATTGGCCCTTTAATAACACTGAATGCGTCGTGTATGTGATGCTGTGATGTTTCGTTTGTGTTGCAGACGGAACGAAGCTGTGCACCGGCTCCCGTGATAACTCCATGTGCCTGTGGGACATCGAGACCGGAAAGTGTTTACAGAAAAACACCATCTCACGCAACCTGGTGAGAGAAAGATACCTTACACACTACATTACCCACAATCCTTTACCTCGCATTTGATGCTAATCCCTTGTTTAACCCTCTCAGGTCAACAGTGTCGTATGTGACATTAAGAGACGTTGTAGATAAAAGAATAAATATTTTGTGAATGCTGCATGCAGGAAATGTACTTTCATTTTGCCTGGAAAGGTAGCATTGTTCTGGCTAGTCAGAAACACAGCCTCTGATTGGTCTATGAGTCAGGAACTCAGCCTCTGATTGGTCGACAAGTCAGAAACACAGCCTCTGAGTGGTCTATGAGTCAGGAACACAGCCTCTGATTTGTCTACGAGTCAGGAACACAGCCCCTGATTGGTCTACGAGTCAGGAACACAGCCCCTGATTGGTCTATGAGTCAGGAACACAGCCACTGATTGGTCTACGAGTCAGGAACACAACCTCTGATTGGTCTATGAGTCAGGAAGACAGCCTCTGATTGGTCTATGAGTCAGGAACACAGCCTCTGATTGGTTTACAAGTCAGGAACACAGCCTCTGATTGGTCTACGAGTCAGGAACACAACCTCTGATTGGTCTACTAGTCAGAAACACAGCTTCTGATTGGTCTATGTGTCAGGAACACAGCCTTTAATTGGTCAACGAGTCAGAAACACAGCCTCTGATTGGTCTACGAGTCAGGAACACAACCTCTGATTGGTCATCGAGTCAGGAACACAGGCTCTGATAAGTCTATGAGTCAGGAACACAACCTCTGATTGGTCTACGAGTCAGGAACACAACCTCTGATTGGTCATCGAGTCAGGAACACAGGCTCTGATTAGTCTATGAGTCAGGAACATAACCTCTGATTTGACGTTGTGTACTACATCATTGACCTGAGAGGGTTAACTAAATCTGTGGACTGAAGTCCTGAGCTGCATCCCAAATCATGCACCTCTGCTCTAAAGAACAGCTGAAACAGAGCTACTGAAAGTTAACATGCAGCTGCAGTGTGACAGGGAAACTCTATAGTCTATGAAGGCAGTTTATGAAATGAAATGAAAAATGAATTGACCACAAAATATTTCAACTCACTCTGCTGAGCTGAGCTAAACATTGTGTAATGTGGTCAAGCAAGCTCTGTTTCCAGCAGCTAAAGCAACGCTAGCACAGTCACAGACAGCCAACCTCAGCTTGGGTTTTCTGTTCCTGCTGTATGTCCACAAATTCCAGTCTGGATTTGATGCTGCTTCGAAAGTCTAAGCTTTAAATCCTTCATGAAATCTTCTGGTTTGAGGTGTTTTGTTTTAAGCGTGTTCTTTGTAGGGGGTGTGTGAACTTTCATGTTAGCTACATAGATAATCAACCAAACATGGAATTTGACCAGGGGTTCCATCACTTTTGCATACAACTGTATCACACATCTCACCTGTCTCTCTCTGTCTCAGGTAACTCATGTGTGTTGGGTTCCAGGAGGAACATCAATAGTCCAGACCTCAGAGGACAAAACCATCAGGTGAGATGTTACAGCAGAGCTCTTAGTGCGGTTTGTTAGAACGCTGAGAACGCTGCCATGTGAACTCTGGTGCAGTTTGGTTCAAATATGAATGCAAAATCAATTAAAGTCTTCTAAACAGATCAAACACAGAATAAACCGCCGTTCTCTCAGTAGACCTGCTTTGGTTCCTGCAACAGATTAACAACATGCTTCCTCTTGTGGCTCTAGACTAGAGGTCTGTACAGGACTGATTTTTCAGTCCCACTCTCACAAGATTTCACAGAAAATCTGCACCATTTGTCCTGCTTCCCCCCGCAACCTAAACATTTTGTCCCCCTCCCGCCCGCTGTTCTGTATAGCCGGTTTCCATCTGTGTTAGTCACGATTGAAAACGACTGCCATATGTCACAGTTGCCTTTATTGTTGTATATTCTCCTTTATTAAGGGCACTTTCCAGAGCTGTGTCTGACTGACTGTCTGAAGGCTCTGCTGTTTCTGTAGCCTAAAAGAAAGCAATTTGTCTGTTGTTCACATGCCTTCGCAACTATTTCGAATGGATTTATTAATTTTTGTTATTTTGCTGTCAGACATTGTTAATATGTGCTAATTATTAAGTGATTGTTATCATTTTATATTGGCTATTCATTAATTTGCAGGATTTCTCAGTTCGGGTTTGCTGTTTCTGCTGAGTGTCTATGGAAATACTGAGTTCTAGGCTGGATTTGATTTAGTAATTTGCAGAATTTGTCTACACGGCAGCTCAGTAACAGACAGGTGACCTCAGCTCCTGCACACACTGTGCTGGTTTACTCTTGTTCATGACACTGAACTATTTCAAGAATATCACAAGACATCCATAGAATATTACAAGACATCCCTAAAGCAAGACATATGTAAAACTCACAAGCTCAGTTAAGCTAGAGGCAGCATTATGGCTGGTTTTGTCACCAAATATGTCATAAAGTCTGCCCTTATATAAATACATATATATATATATATATATATATATATGTATATATGTGTGTGTGTGTTTATGTATATGTGTGTTTTCAGAGTGTGGGACAGCCGTAGCTGGCAGGTAATGAACACATTTCCTGCTAAGCAGTACATCCAGACTCACTGTGATATCAGCCCGAACTGCAACCATCTACTGTCCAGCAGCAACGGCTTCCAGGGGCAGGGCTGCGAGGCCACGGTCAGTCTCATTATTTATTTAAGTGTATTGGCTGAGTAATGCAGGTGGGCTGTGGCTCATCACTGTAATGTTTTTAGTCAACCTGAAATCAAAACCTTTTTAACTTGTTAGTTTGTAGTAATTATCATTGTTGAATGGTATGGAAAGCTATATGGTGGCTGTACATTAAGGTTTTGTGTTTGTGATTTCTGATTACTGTGTGTTTAAATGTATATGTTGATGTACAGAGCGTCTGTCTGTCTGTCTGTGTGTTTTTCTGTCTGTCTGTCTATGTGCCTGTATATAAAGCTGTGGGACCTGAGGCAGCCGGGCTGTAAGGTGGTGGAGTACAGAGGACACATCCAGACCACGGCCTGCTGCGTCTTCCTGCCGCCCAGCATCGGCTCGCCTGCACTCGTCGCTTCAGCATCGTTCGACAGTTCCATCAAAATCTGGGACCAGAACACGGCAGGTAACACACACACACACACACACACACACACACACACACACACACTAGGGCTGAATTCTTCATTTCTCCAGTAAAGTAAAATACAGTCATATGCAAAAATTTAAAGGAACACTATATGATATATTTACTGTACTAAATCATAAAATGGCCATGATGTGTCATCAGAGATTAAGGAAACTAATTTCTCAGTGCCACAGCCAGTATGATCTTCAGAGAACACACTTAAATGTGACATTTTCTTCTAAATTTAGCGCACAATTTGTACGTAATTGCTTATAACATATTAGATAAAAATAAAACATGAATTTTTTGCACAGACTACATTTTACATTCAGCAGATAAACAGAAATTGTGCATTAAAATGTGCAGGAGTGTGTTGTTCTCATATCAGGTCTAGTGAATTTAGTTCCGTTCAAGTGAATTGAATTCAGTTCAATTCAGTTCAAATCAAACCAATTCAGTTTGGCTTATTTTCACTGAATTTGAATCTGTTTATATCAGTTCAACTCAACTGCAAAGTGCAGTTCTATTCAATTCAGTTCAGTTCGATTCAGTTCAGTTCAAGTCAAATTTCAATTCTGTTTGATTCAATTTAATTCAGTTCAGGTCAAGTCAGTTTACATTCAATCAACTATATAAACAACTCAGTTAAATTCAAGTCAAATTTCAGTTCAAATCAAATAAGCTCAATTTAAGTCAAATCAGTTCAAGTCATTTCACATCTGTGGGGTTTAAATCGGTTCAGTTCAATTAAGTTCAGTTGACATTCAGTTCAGTTGAATTGATGTCTCTCTCTCTCTCTCTCTCTCTCTCTCTCTCTCTCTCTCTCTCTCTCTCTCTCTCTCTCTCTCTGTAGCCTGTTTGTGTACTCTCTCTCTCGATGGTTCTGGTCCATTGGTGTCTTTGGCTCCGTGTGACTCCAGCAGCCTCCTCTGTGCCAGTTTTAATACAGGACTTCACCAGCTGAACCTCTCCCGCGGAGCCGCGCCCATCCTGAAGGAGATCGCCCGCTTCTGACCTCCGTTCACGCTGAGGGAGATCGCCCACTTCTGAACTCCTGCCACCCCCATGCTGAGGGTGATCGCCCACTAACCCCACTACCCCACCCTGAGGGTGATCGCTTACTACCCCTACTACCCTTACTACCCCCACCCTGAGGGTGATCGGCTGCTTCTAACCCCCACTACCCCCACCCTGAGGGTGATCACTTACTACCCCCACTACTCCCGTGCTGAGGGTGATCGTCCACTAACCCTACTACCCCACCCTGAGGGTGATCGCTTACTACCCCCACTACCCCACCCTGAGGGTGATCGCTTACTACCCCTGCTACCCCCACCCTGAGGGTGATCGCTTACTACCCCCGCTACCCCCACCCTGAGGGTGATCGCTTGCTACCCCTGCTACCCCCACCCTGAGGGTGATCGCTTACTACCCCCGCTACCCCCACCCTGAGGGTGATCGCCTGCTTCTGACCCCCACTACCCCCACCCTGAGGGTGATCGCCTGCTTCTGACCCCCACCACCCCCAGACTGAGGGTGATAACCCAATTATAACCCCCCACCACCCTAAAATAAACCCATTGACTAACTGCTAATGCTAATGGATAGAGCTAAATCACTGCCTAGAGAGTTTGTCACATGGAGCAGGTAGAGACAACTGACTCAGGACACACACACAGTGACCATAAGGCAGGCGTGCCCAAACTATTTGTCTTGAGTTGGACAGTGTGTAGTGTGAGGGCCAAAAAGGCCAAATAAAGAGGGTAGGTTTCAGAAATATATTTTATAACATTACACTATATTTTGTTACAAAAATACTTAAAAAACTAATTTGAACGGAAAATAAGAATTTTGTAAGTTATATATAGTATAAAAACATAGTATATACTGTATATATTGGGTGAGTGGGGTGGGGCTAACTTTCTGGACACCCGCACAATTTGGGCAGCCCTGCTGATAGGAGACACTGCTGTAATCTCCACACAGGTGTAAGCTAGAAGTTTCACCTTTACTATATTATTTAATGTTAAACAAGTCCTAAGTGGGAAAATGTAACCAAATAAAACAGAGAGTGATGCAACAAAAACAGGCCTGGAGCTTAAATTATAGAAAATAACCACATTAAATCACAATATTGGCAGTAAAAATAGACATTTTCTAATGTCCACCAAACTCTATAACTGTAGTTCTCATTTTAACCTTTAGAAGTCACAGTTACAGCCGGCGGTAACAGCCATGTTGTAATTTTGTGTGAATAATTTCTGATTCACTGACTTCGGTGTTCCAGTGTACTTATTCTGTCTTTTATTTTTAGCAGTCGTCACATTTCCAGGGAAGCTATTTTTGATTGGTGGTTTCTGTTCCAGTAGCAACCAAATTAGGCTCTTGCTTCATCTCTTTGAAAAAGAAAAGGGATTAGTTTACAGTGAGAATGGGGATGTTGCATGAAAGTATGTCTACTAATTAACTTAAACACTGTTATTCACCAACACCAGCAACTCAAACTGCGGCCTAAAACTGCCTAAGCCTCTAAACTACCACACTGGACAGAGCCTGCTGGTTTGTGTGGGCTACTGTGGTGATGTCAGTCTTCTATTGATAGTTCAGGGCATAGCCGTCTTAGTTACCATGTGGCATTAGTCATATTTCAACTCCTAAACGACTTTGCAATTCAGGACATCTGGTGACGTTTGGAGGAAAAATGTCCAGCGAATCAGCTTTGGAACATTTTTGCTTACCACAGTTTGCAATAGCAGCAGTTTTCAAAATTTTCCCATAGGGAGAACCAGCTAAGACGCGAATTTCCTTATATGGGCATGACGGCGTCTACAGAATGTACTGTACAGGTCTATAGGCCACTGTAGTCGTGCATCATTCTGTAGTCTGTTATGCCCATATTAGGAACTCTGGGTCTGAACTCCATTTCTCTGTGGCCAGAATGAATGGGGTCTATGAAAAATCGCTCTTTGGTATATAAAAATGTTTTGTCCTGTGTACATATTTCTCCCGAATATCACTGGATCCTCTGCGTTATGAGGTCGTTAAAGAGCCTTAATGCTAATATTGCTACATGGAAGCTAAAGCTAGGTGGGATCTCTAGCTTACAGCTCTAAAATTACCCCCCAGGTCAGACTGGGGGGGGTTTACACTCACACATACTAACACATATAAATGTCCATACACTGTCTGAAGGACGGGAGTGCTGAGAAATATCAGTACCACTCATTCCTGCACTGTGAGCAGAGACTCTGGACCAAACTCTTGAAGAGTCAGTCATCGAAGAACATTCTGGATAATCACACTGGATGAAGTGAGAGTTTAGAGAAAAAATCTGATGTACACAGCGCCCCCCACCACCACTCTTACCCCAGATGTAGTCGATCAACCAAGACATGTTTGGTGTGTGAAGTTTTCTTCTTTAGTTTTGCACCAGAGCACCGAGGCTAATGTAGCTAACAAGTAATGGAAGCTTATAGATGATAGGTTAGCATTGTGCTAACTGCACATTTAGGTCATCAGAAACTCGCCTCAAACCTCACTCACCCTGTATGACATACTGTTGTTTATAAAAATGGTCAAAACTACGGAGATGACCGATACTGTTTTTTTTAGCTATGCTAATCCAGTCTAGCCATGTTTATAGACAACAGTGACTCATACAGTGTCAGAAACCACATCATCAAGTCTATTAGAGATTACTTGAACAAAATTTCCTCAGATTTTTCAAAATCTCTGCATAATTCAGTGTGTGTGATGTAAACAGTGATTCAGAGTGGTTTGGTGTGAAATGGTTCACATGTCTTTACAGTGGTGGTGATAGGAACCAGGGGTTGCCATGACTACAACACAAATATAGACATTTTATTTACTGTCCAAAACCACCAGTGAACCTACACGAGTCTTCTGGGTTTATATGGAATGTTGATGATGGAAAAATAGTGGAAAATAAGTTTTCTTTGGGGACTATTTTGCCTCACAATGTCCTGCCTGTATCCCTCCACCATGAATAGATTTATAAAATATATGTTTTAGGTCAAAATCTTCTCAAAACTGTTGTAAAATGATGTCTCAGGTGTCTCAGGCTTTCTGCGAGGTCGCTTTTACAGGCGGTAAACTCCTTTAGAGGCTTTACGCCTAGTAGCCATTAGCTTCCATTACTTACTAGCTGCATTAGCCTTGTAGCTCCAGTGCTAAAAATACAGAAGCAAAGCTCAGACTCCGTACAAGTCCTGGCTGATCAGCTACATTTGGGGTAAGGAAGGAAATGGTACATCTGATTTTTCCCCAGATCTGTCACTTTAAGAGTCAACCGCTGAGGAATAATCACTGTGGATGGAGGAAAAGATCCCTGAGCTTTTCGGCTTCAGCTGAAACGTTTCCTGACTGGAGAACACTTGATCCTTTCTACAGCAAACAGAATGTACATCTAATGTGAAACTTGAAGAACATCTGCTTGAAATGTTTCAAAAAGCACACCAAAGAATTTGAACCTGCTAGCGAGGAACCAGCAGCCTTTTTCTTACTTTCTAACTCTTTATGCAAATTGCCAGCAGGCCGCTGACGGAGAAGCGGGCGGCCTGCTTACCTGCAGAGGCAGACAGTAAGCATGATTCAGCGCAGACTGTACAGTGTGCCTGTATTTGTTTGCGTACGTGGTGGTATCATTATCGTCGCTCGATCTTTGCATCTTTCTTTGGCTCTTTGCATACTGACCACTAAAGCACACAGGTGACCACACAAACACAGGACACACACAGGAGCGTACGCACACACGCGCAGTCCACCCCCACACTCGACAACAGCAACGCAGCACGGTTAGCGCTGGAGGAAATGGAAACTCTGCTGGAAAGTCTTTCTTTATCAGCCTGTTATCTGTTACACAGCTTTAAAAACACACTAACGCAGTCATGCTACCGAATGCTGCCAGCGCTGCTGCTGCATGTTTTATCAAACACTTCACAGCCCAACGTCCAGGAAGACAACACCAGCTGAGTTCCAGCTGAGTTTACACGAGTTTCTGACGCTGTGACAGACAGTCATCTATTAAAACGGACAAAAGGATGTCACCCTAAAAAGAGTAGCATCAGTTTTGCAGCCTGATTTTTGAAAAGATGAACTTTTTCCCAATATTGAGAGCATCAGCAGCAGAGTGATGCTAATTGGTATAAGCTCTGGGTTCTTGTTAGCAACATTAGCTTCTGTGTAAAACTGCAGAAGCAAATTTTAGAAAGCCTATTAACACTTGATCTTTGTGTTAAATTATGCTAATGTAAAGCATGGTTTAATGCTGTAAGAAGGCTATTAAAACACTTGATGCTAGCATTAAAGCACGGTTTAATGCTTTAGGAAGGCTGTTAACTCTTGATGTTAGCATTAAAGCTAACGTTAGCTAATGTTAAGGCACAGTTTAATGCTTTAGGAAGGCTATTAACACTTGATGTTAACATTAAATGATGCTGGTATTACTGTTTAATGCTTTAGGGGGGCTATGAACACGTTAGCATTAAATGATGATATTGTTAAGGCATGTTTTAATGTTTTAGGAAAGCTAACACTTGACATTTAAGTACTTTCTGAAACTATTTTTTATTTTCATCATGTCTGTCCGTCACTCTCTTCCCAGCTGTTCTCATGGTAATTGTGTAAATTTGATTATATACTGAACTATTTGTTTAACAGTGGTTGCATTTTGGTTTAAATCCCAAAAAAAGACTTTTTCTTCTCCTCTAATTTGTATTTTCAAATGCACCGATTGCCGACTGATGATCAAATTTGTCAAAATGTGTGAAGTTTTGTAAAATAAATTCAGACTGAATGACTCTTAATCAGCTGTACAGGCCTGTTTTGTGTTTCTGGTTGAATTTGCATACTGCTGCCTGCTGGCCGTGATGTAAATTACAGCAGGGTTTTATGGCAAAACGCCTTTGAGGTCCACCAGTTCAAACCACAGGACACTTTTTTTCCACTTCCCCTCAGTTCATTTTAAATGAGCTCTGTCCCAGAGAAGGTGGCAGCGTTTCTGGATCCTGTTTATATTTGGTTTCTTCTTTGTGTTTTAGAGTTTTAACTTGCATTTGTGGATGCAGTGATGAACTGTTTTTACAGACAGTGGTTTTCAGAAGTGTTTCTGAGCCCATGCAGTGATTTCCTCTACAGAATCATGTCTGTTTTTAATGCAGTGCTGCCTGAGGGCCCAAAGATCACGGCCAGCAAATAGTGGTTTTTGGCCTTGTCCCTTACATACAGAGAATTCTCCAGATTCTCTGAATCGTTTAATGTTATTCTGTACCGTAGATGATGAAAAGCAAAAGTTCTTTTGTAGTTTATGTTGAGAAACGTTATTCTTGAATTGTTGCACTATATGATCATGCAGTCTTTCACAGAGTGGTGAACCCCTCCTCATCTTTACTTCTGAAAGACTGAAAGCCTCTCTGAGATGCTCTTTAATACCCAATCATGTTACTGGCCTGTTGTCAGTTAACCACCCAGTGTTTTTTTAGCAATAAACAACTTTACCAGCCTTTTGTTGACCCCGTCCCAACTTTTTTGGAACGTGTTGTTGGCATAAAATTCAAAATGGTCAAATATTTTTCAAAAAACAATAAAATTTCTCAATTTCAACATTTGATTTGTTGTCTTTGTATTATTTTCAATGAAATATAGAGTTTAAATGATTTGCACATCATTGCATTTTGTTTTTATTTACCTGACGTCTACAAAAGCAGCGCATTTTATTCCGGTAATTTGAAAAAAATAAATAAATATATACATACATTAATTAATTCATCTGCCCTGCGATGGACTGGCGACCTGTCCAGGGTGTATCCTGCCTTCCGCCCAATGGCAGCTGGGATGGGCTCCAGCACCCCACCGCAACCCAGAAGGATAATCGGTTTAGATGATGTAGTGTATGTGTGTGTGTGTGTTATTAACTAATTAATTCATTCATCATCATAACTGCTTACTCCAGATAGGGATTGAGGGGATGTATGTAGATACATACATACATACATAAATAAATGACAGCGCAGATGTGTGTTCAGGTAGATGTTTTGAAGTTACCAAACTAACTACATAAATAATATTATGTTAACAGGTATAAGTGACTGTGGTCTGCTTACACTACCAGCAATTATGAGCTACCACAGCCTAAACTTGTAACACATTTGAATTTGTTCCGGATACGGATTATGGAATACCTGATATCAGATCAGTGCTAGCTTTACTTTCATGGTATCCATTGGTTGTAACTGTGCTGAAATACTGAGCTGAAGCTTATGGCCTTCTCAACATTTTGTCTGTAGAAAAGGACTTCAGGAGCTGGACTAAAGGCCTTACACATTAGATTAACTACCAACATATTAGGAAAGAATCAACAAATCATGTTTTGATTTCTAGAACACATAGATACATCACTGACTGTGAACACAGCCACAGTTAGTTGTTAGGAATGGAAAACAGCGGTGGCAGCTCTGTATCTAATGCTAAATAAAACGGAAATCTTTGAAAGTAGCAGAATGCAGTATGGACGACACAGAAGCAAGGAAAGACTCTACGTCTACAACCATCAGTGAAGCATCAGCGGAGGATCAGTACAAGTACAAGGATGAATAACAACATCTGGAGTTTGTGATTCATTCCACAGTAAAATGACGACCCCAAGCAAACTGCAGAGATCAAGATGTACTTAGCAAAGAAAGAGGCTGAAGAAAGAGCAAAGAAAGAGCAAAGAAAGAGGCTGATGATAAACAATGGACTGACCACCTCAGAGTCCAGACCTCAACATCACTGAATTTGTTTGATTACTTTAGAAAATGATCAACCAGCTTCTAAGACTGAACTTTGGAGGCGCGTCTGCAGATTCTTTGAGTCTCCTGAAAGGAATGGAAGCTCTAATAAAGGCAAAGAGTGGATGCATAAAACAATGAACAATCTGCTTTTACAATGTTGATATATATGTTAAAACCTCTGCATAAAAGTTGCCATAAACCCCATCTTTTCACACACCGACAGAACATATAACATAAATCTGTTAATTTATGAATATATAGTAGCTTCCCCCCACCTACTGGCTCGCACTGCCGTAGAAGGTATTGGGAGGTGCGCACCCGCTGGAAAAGGGACTTACTGTTGTTTGTTAGTTCAAAGATGTGGCATGCGTTAGTTCTGTTTTAATAAGCGGAAGCTGGTAGAGAGGTTCAGCCGTGGCCGCGGCCTGTGGGTCGAGTGCCTCACAGATGGCGGACGGCTCATCACGTTCACCATCATGGGACTTTTGTAATTGGAGACAATTGTACTTTTTAAGTATTTTAGGTACAAAGTACAGTGTAGTGTAATGTAGTACATGTTTAAAAATTCAAATACCATCTTTATTTGTATACTTTTTTGTCTTTCTGGCTCTCTGTCCATCACAAACACAGCCACCAAAACAAAATCTGGGCTCCCCTGCTGTAGATGGATGTGTGGAGTCTGCAGACACCCACACACTCACTCACACACACACTCTCTGTGCCGTATTTGACTACTCTGTGTGTGTTTCCTGGTGCATGTTATTCCAGTATGCAAATGCTGCCAGACTCCATGAAGTAGAGAAGAACATCAGAGAAACAGAGAGAGAGAGAGGGGACGAGAGAGTAATGTTCTATAAAAAGCTTTAGTGAGGGGGAGGAAGGTGGTCCACAGAGTTCTAATGAAATAATGAAGTGAGTTCCACACACTGAGCTGGAGCGAGGCTGAGGTGGGTGATGGATCCTCTCCTCGGCGATGAGAGCGGAAGACGCAGGTGAATGAAGGTGAGTTAATGAATGAGAGTTTCCTGTTATATCTAGTATAAAGCAGCTCTAAAGTACCATAAAGTGGTAGTTTGTCAAAAAATGTAATGTAGCCGGTTTTCACCCTTGAAATAGCCAACCAGCCAAAGTAAGTTTGCTTCTTTAGTTTTTGCACTGGAGCTATCAGGCTATGTATGCTAACAATAGGCTAACAGTTAGCAATGTGCAAATTATCACAGGATCGCCTCAAACCATGCAGAGTTGTTACAAAGACTTTAACAGACTTGATTATGGGGTTTCTGACACTGTTTGATGCTGTTATTAGGGATGTATGATGATACATACAGATAGATTCATATCAGTAGCAGTATTTAATTGCTTCAAAAGACAGCATGGATGTTTGATGTAGTTAAACTTTACTGATTAGGTAACTAAAATGACATAAAATGACCTTAAACAAACATTATACTTCTCCATAATGCTAATGCAGGCAGATTTGGTTCTAATTCCTACAATGTATAATGGCTTATGCAGATATGTACACTTTATGCACTTCAGCATCGACCCACAATTCCTATATCGGTGCATCCTTAACTGTTATCTATAAAACATGGACTAATGTATACTGGCCTAGCTACAAACAGGAGCAGCAGACACACTTAAAATAGAAATTCTTCTGATTTTGTAATATTCCTGCATAATTCAGTGTGTGAGATGTAAACAGAGTGATTCAGAGTGGTTTGGATGTCTTTACAGTGGTGGTGATAGGAACCAGGGGTCGCCATGACTACAACACAAATATAGACATTTTATTTACTATCCAAAACCACCAGTGAATGTTGATGGAAGTTTATATGGAATGTTGATGATGGGAAAATAGTGGAAAACTTGAAATAATAAGTTTTCTTTGGGGACTATTTTGCATCGCAACGCAGTGCATGTATCCCAACGCCCACCATGAATGGCTTTTAAAAACATATTTTTGGCCCAAATATTCTCAAACTATTATAAAACAATGTCTCAGACATCAGATAGTGAAATCATAACCATTTTATGTAATACATTTCTGTGAGGGAGCTTTTAGAGGTGGACGCCTGGTTCCTATCACCACCACTGTGAACAATTCTGACTCGGTAAGTTTCTCTAGAACAGAGCGTTTCACACCAAACCACTCTGAATATTAATTTCTCACTAAGAGGTTATATAGGAAGTATTAGGCCATAGTCTGCCAGTGCGGAGGCTTTTCAAAAGCAGATGAACTTAGATGACCTTACTTGCAGGTGCATAGAAGCGAACTCTTGTGAACCCATATGATATATGGTGCAGTATGACCTTGTAGGATCAGATAAAATGGTAAGCATGGGCGGCTAAAACTAGCTTTTTTGAAAAAAACAGATGTGTAGTATGCAGTGAACTTAAGGGAGGCCAAGTGATGGGGAGGTCTGAATGGGGACTAACGGAACTTCAAGTTTGAGGTGACATCATAACACCCCAGATAAGGGTATATAAGGCGCTTACCGAACACTGTATCTCTCGAGACCCTGCGCCATCTGATGCTGGAGTAAAGAAGAAGCCTTTTTCTCTTTCCACAAACTCAGCGTCTGAAGTCTTTTTTCCTTTTTGACATCTGTTGACAACTTAGACTTACAACAGTTGTTAGTGTTTAGCCAGTATGTTGGAGGCCTGGGGTTGAAGGGGGAAGCCTTTGGTCCCGACAGGCCAGTGCTCAGGGACCCCATAAGAGCATGATCTGTCCCTGGAATCAGGCGTGTTAGGTTACAGCTAAAACTGAACTCCACTAAAATGTAGATGTCCAGCGGTTTGGACTCTACCCCTGCTCTGCTGGACGTCCTCCTGCTTCAAACAGAGCATATTTTTATGGGCCAGTGTGGTTTTCTGAATTGTTTTCAAAATGAAAGATGCATTTTGCTTGCTGTTCAGTGCACCCTGCATGACTGCTCGGGCAGCCTGAGCTGTAAAAAGTTTAAAGCCATGAAGTAGGACCCCATCATCTGGAGATCGCGGGTTTGATCCCTGATGACGCCACAGCCATTTGTACCCAAGTCCAATGTCTCCCTGAGTGGTTTGGGTGGCCCTTCCCCTCCCCTCCATCACTCAGTGCAATGTTAGCCAGCAAAGATGTGTCTGTTAGCTGACATGACAGAAGTCGAAGTTAGTGTTTTCCTCCAAGCGTGTTGAGCTGTCCATCGGCGTTGCGTTAGCGTTAATTTGAGAAGATCTGGTGGATGGCTTTGCGTGACTAGCATGTGTTAGTCTTTACCCTTCTAGTGCTGGTTGTATTGTGTAGCGGGTGGAATTGGACATGACCTAATTGGGGAGAAAACTGGAAAAAAAAATGAATGGAAATCAATTCCATGAGTTGGGTGTGATGATTTATGTGTGTAGTTAGCATCATGCTACTTGGTAAGGTATAAGGATCTATTAATTGTTATCTATATTTGTCTCGTAACTCCAGTGCTAAAGAAGCATACATGTCTTGGCTCATCATCTGAGATACATATATTTAGCAGAGAATCCTAAGGCTAAAAACACTTGACATTGACATGAAATTATGTTAATTTTCATTGTGTCTGAGTTCCTCTCTTTCCAGCTGTTCCCACCACTTTTGACATGCTAGATTTCATCCCCACCACTTTTTAAAGTGTAGCCTGTCGAAAATCTTTTAAATAATGGCACTAAGCCCAAAAACTTGGTCAAAACATCACTAAAACCATGCGGAACCTGTCTTCAGTTGTTCCTCAACATTGTGTTGATGCTCTGGCAGCTACACAGTGAACTGATAATGAATAAGAACAGCTGTTAGGTGTATTCAGCTCCTTTTGCTAAAGCTAACCCAGCGGCTTACTAAAGTCCCACTAGTATCGTAGGCCATGCACTTTGAGATCCCTCGGCAAACAGGCCTTTTCAGGGCTGCTTTGCATGGGCTTGTACTGCTGCTCTTTTAAACCACCATTTGCATTTACAAGGCAAATGTGTTGACAACAGGAAGGTCCACCTACGACATGACCCCTACTTAGATCAACAATAACAGCACAATAAACTCAGACAGCACTTTAACCCCTCAGCCAAGACAGGGTTGGTGTCTGGAGTTTGCTTCTATAGTTTGCACTGGAGCTACAAAGCTAATAGCGTAGCAAAGATTAGCACAGACATAATTCAGGCTTCAAAGTGGTAACATACTTTCCTTCATATGTCATTCCGAGTTAGAAACCACCAAGTAGGTCTATTAGAGGTTACCAAACAACTCTACTAAGTGTGTGATAATTTAGCCATGCTAATTAGCAGGGTATAATACTGCATTGAACTAGAGCTCATAACTTGGAATTCCTGAGGAAAAATTAACAAAAACAACTAATCAAGTGGAAATTCCCACTCTTAAGGTTGGGATGGTGTTTTCCAAGTTGATATCAAGCACACTATAGGTGGTCAAATCTATAACACTGACCAAGTTTTGCTGTTTTGAGAAGTTAAATACAATGAACTTCAACTTACACCGATCAGGCATAACATTCTGACCACCTTCTTGTTTCTACGCTCATTGTCCATTTTATCAGCTCCACTTACTATATAGGTGCACTTTGTAGTTCTACAGTTACAGACTGTAGTCCATCTGTTTCTCTGCATACTTTGTTAGCCCCCTTTTACCCTGTTCTTCAGTGGTCAGGACCCTCATGGACCCTCACAGAGCAGGTACTATTTGGGTGGTGGATCATTCTCAGCACTGCAGTAACACTGACGTGGTGGTGGTGGTGTGTTAGTGTGTGTTGCGCTGGTCAGAGTGGAACTGAGTGGAACTTGGAGTTTGAAAATGACATAATTCCGAGCTCCAACTTCCCAATTCCCAGTTACGTCCAATGCAGCATAAGCTTCTATTATTTATTAGCTACACTCGCCTCTTAGCTCCAGTGCTAAAACAAACTTTAGACACCAAACATGTACTGGCTGATTTGGGTAGGGAGTCATTCTTTTGCTGAACTATTTCATTTGATGTTTTTAAAGAGAGTTTTCTAAAGCATGTAATACAAATGAATTCTCTTTTGTTTCGTTGTTGGTGTTTGGTTGTGTAGACTAGCATCAGCGTTCCATCACAGATGCCCACCACTGTGCCTGAGGACCGTCCAGCAATAGATTACAACCTGTGACCTTTTTGTCATCCCAAAAACTGCCCATGGATCTTTACCCCAAAGACCCATATGCCCCCGATGACCCGCCAGTGGATAACGACTGCTTCCCGGACCTGGAGTGCGCCGTGTGCTTCAGCCAGTTCAACAATGTCTTCAACACGCCTAAGATGCTTGAATGCAAGCACACCTTCTGCCTTGAGTGCCTCGCCCGCATGAATGTCAAATCCTCTCAGCCCGAAACCATACAGTGCCCACTCTGTCGGGCGTACACCCCCTTACCCGCCCTGGGCCTGCCCAAGCTGGCTACGGACCCTGCGGTACTGTCCTACCTACCGGAGGCCATGCAGCGCGTCTACAGCATCCGCTTCAACCGGGACCGGGGGAAGCTACAGGTAAAGCGAGCACCCAGCTCGGTGCCGCCCTGCCCGGGCGAATCCCGCCACAGCGTGGACCTCGGGGTGCCCGTTGACTCTGAGGACAGTGACAGGAGGAGCCAAAGTGGTTCGTTCTGCACTAGGCTGATACGGATGCCCCTCTGCAAGGGGCTCTTCATGGCTTCCGGAGTGCTTATAATGGTCTCGCTCACCATCGGCATCGTCATCATCCTGTCTCAGAATAAGAAGCAGTGAGTTGTTGAATATCTGATTCAACAACTCATTGTTCATGAGACGCTGGAAATGGTCTCCTTCACCATCAGCTTCGTCATCATCTCCTCAGGAAGTGATGTTGGGGAGAACTGCAGAGTTTGCTGTGGTATAAAAGAATTCTTGCAAACTGTCTCTCTTATCATCATCTTTTCACAGAGGAAGTGATGTCATTGTTTGATGGCAATAGGGTGCCACATTCCTTCTGGACTTCACCGTACTGTGTAAACAAAGACAATTGATCCAGCTCAAGCAATTTTTTCAAACTGTCCATTTCAGTGAGTCAAACGTCCAATTCAACGAATCACTGATTCACAAGTTAACGTGAAGGAGCTGATAGTCGTCTCCCTCAACATCGCCATCATCTTCTCACAGAGGAAGTGATGTCACAAGAGACAATGACAGAACCAAAGACTTAAAGGAATACACACACACATTATCTATGCCGCTTATCATTCTGGGTCGCCGGGGGTGCTGGAGCCTATCCCAGCGGTCATTGGACAGAAGGCAGGAAACACCCTGGACCGGTCCTTAAAGGAATAGATAAGTGGGAAAACAAACTGACAAGCCCCAGTGTCGTCCATCAGCTAAGACTTTATGATATATTACTGTTATCTATAAGCAGGTTTTACTTTTTAGCATTGTAGCTCCAAAGCAAAACAGAGGACGACACCAAACGTGCCTTGAATTATGAGCTACAGTTGTGTAAATGTGATTATCATAAGTTATATTGCACAGAAAATTTTGGGTTCCAAACATAACTTTTTCAGATTGGACAAAATAGTTAATGTCTAAAAGGTTTTATTTCAGACCTGTGCTATTGTTATGGACTAAGCTAAAGCATCACTGACTGTTCTTGTGTCATACCCAGATAGCAAGAAGATAGCGGCCCACTGATGGCAGAGCTGGCAGCCCACTGACTTTTTACTCAGGGTTTTCCTGGCGGCCCACTGTTGGTTAAGCAGAGTATTGGACAAAATACCACTGTTCATCACTCATTTTCCTTCATTTCCTTCTTTCGTTATCCGTTGTAAATTAGTAAATAATTATAACAGCAATATCGTAGAAAACTAGTTAGTTCTTGTAATCTCGGTGGCCCGAGGATGGCAAGAAGTCAGCAGGGTGTCGGCTTTATCAAGCCAGCTGGCTGATATATGCTCGCTATCTGGGGTGATGTACTGCATGGCAGTGATGTTTTACATTACAATGTAAAAATGCAACGTTGCCTGGAACAATGATAGGAACTGAACTTCAGGTCTTGGAAATCCCCACTAGCCTATAAAACCCATTCTTTGCACAATTACCAACTTCCTTCTGCTGTGAAAGTGCAAAGTCACAGCTATTGGCAAACTCTGTGTGCAGATATTCTGCAATTGTGCTGAAATTAAAGCAACAGTTTGATGAAAGACTGTATTTCAACAGTTTTTCCACTCTCACCCCAAAAGAAGTCAACCAGCCAAGTCATGTTTGGAGTCTGAAGTTTGCTTCTTTAGTTTTAGCACTGGAGCTACAAGGCTAACAAAACTAAAAAGTAATGGCCCAACTACGCTGGCCCTGGTCTAACTGGTCTAACACCGACCCATGTTGGTTCTGACTCAGATTTGCATGCCAGGTCTGTACTGACTTGGCCAGAATAAGCCTAGAATTACTGTAATATAATTTACTGTTGTTTTCATGTACGTTACAGTGATTTTACCATGATTACTTTATTCTGACACCCCACAGAACTGCCCCATACATCTTAGCTATAGGCTGGAAATACTACTAAACAGAAAAAAGCCCCAATAAATCAGACTTCTCAGAATATCCCATTCACTCCTGTCAAACTGAAATGGAAATGTTGGCTGTCAGAAAAGTTCTAAACCAAAGTTTCAGTGTTTTTTACTTCAGGAAACGATACACAACAAACTTTTTTAAAAAGTAGTTAGCACAATGTCTTACACCAATCATTATTTGTAAGTCTTTTAGTCAACATTGCCCACTGTATTCACTGACTCTGCCATAACTTGTCCATTTTCCTCTCTTACCATGTGCGCTAACATTGCCCACATGCATTTTAGCTAGACTAACAGTTAACATAACATTCTCCAGTTAACAGTAACGGTTTCCATTCACAACTTTTCAGTTAAACCAAATAGAATTAATAGACTTTTAGAAAACGTTTGCACGTTTACATGTAACTTACTGCCCTGCTAGAAAAACTAGCATAGCTGGTTACCAGCAAAACCAACTTGTGTTTGGTTTTGGATGTTGCTATGCTGGTTAACCAGCATGACATGTGGCTGACCAGTTAAACCAGCATAAACCTGCTTTAACCAGCTTAGTCTACCATGGAATGCATGCTGGTCTATGGTGTTTTTTTCAATAAATCTAAAACAGGCAATTAGCAGTTATGCTTGCATTTAGTTGCCTCTCTCTCCCAATTAATTGAGAATTGCACGCTCTTTTTGCTGGTGTTGCCAGCACGCAACAATGGCACGGAATCAAAGATTGCGTTTGGGCCACAGCCATCCTGCCAGAGTCAGGCCAGTTGCCTTCCTAGCAGCGCTAGCCAAGCGTAGCTGCTGCAAATCATGCTGGCTCTGGCTAGATTTATTATGGCTGCATCTGACAATCCACTGGCTGTACCAAATGCCAGGTGATTTTTGTTGATGGTGGAAGCTTATACATCACCAATTACGGTGCAAACTGAGCAGAAGTTATATAAAATGGTCTTATTTATGTGGTTTTTGACATTGTATGTCATACTGTGTCTATAAACTTGGACTAAAGTACATTAGCACAGCTAAAAACAGCAGCCATTTTGTCTGTTTATAGGTAACAGAGTGTCAAACAGTGTCAGAAACCAAATAAACAGATCTATTAGAGATTACAACTCATTTGAGTAGAAGGTGTGATGACTTAGGAATGAAGCTTGCATAATGCTAGTTGCTAACATAAGCATCCATAACTTGTTAGCTACATTAGCCTCGTAACTCCAGAGCTAAAACTGAAGAGCCAAACCTTCAGACAGTTGGTTGATCAACTACACTTGGTTAAGGGGTAAAATACACATTTTTAAAAACTCATTATTTGTTAAACTATCAGTTTAACGTTGCTTTTTCCTCCGCCAGCCTCAGCGAGAGGCTGCAGTGTCTCTGCACTTTCCATTCAATGCAAATGCCGGCGCTCGCTCCTGCCATGCAAATGCACGGTTACTTTTCACAGTTTGAGAGAGCTGGAGTTTCCAGCAGAATGCAAACACACACAGGCCTCTTCATATATATATATATATATATAGATATGTATATATATAGCGACAACATTCAAATGCAGCAGAGAGTTTGACGTGAGACTACGATGCCACGTTAGAAGTAGCAGAATGCTAATCGCTCAGCTAACATATTTCCATAATGAGCAGCTGGTTTATGTTCATTCAGGAAAATGTTCACTTTATTTTCTCTTTCATTGTTTATCTTGTCTACTTGATTCTGCATCCTCAGATTTGCACTTTCGGCTTGTAGCTGAACTGTTTTTATCTCATGAATAACTATTAGAATGTCAGATTTCAATGTAAAAGTCTAATAAAAGTCTGTTAAAGTCAGTTGCGTCAGTTTCAATCATTTTCAATCACAGCACTTTGATCATCGGAAAGAAGCTAAAGTTAGCTTCTTATTCGCCGCAGCTTCTTGTTCATATCTTCCGTTCCACCTTAAATGGTGCTGAAGTCATCAGGCTGTGCCATTTAAGGTGGAACAGACAGTTTGAATAAGAAGCCAACGAAATGCAGCTTGAGAACAAATTTTGACTCAAAACTTATCTTTGGATGGTTCTGTACAGCAAACTGAACGAAGACTCTGCCATGAATTATCTGGAATAATCCTGGAGCCACTGTAATAGTTTTCTGTTCCATTTTCCTCTCTGACCATGTGCGCTAACATTGCCCACAGTATTTTAGCAAGACTAAGAGTTAACATAACATTCTCCAGTTAACGTTAACAGTTTCCATTCACAACTTGTCAGCTAAACCAAATATAATTAATAGACTTTTAGAAAACTTTTGCTGCAATAAATAGCAGTTAAACAGCATTTAACTTTCGTCCCTGCCAGAAAAACTAGCATAGCTGGTCACCAGCAAAACCAGCTCATGTTGTGTTTTGGATGTCGGTATGCTGGTTAGCCAGCATGATATGTGGTTGACCAGCTTAACCAGCTTTAACCAGCTTAGTCTACCATGGAATGCATGCTGATCTTTTTCAGCAAGTGCTGTTTTTTCAGCAAGGCTAAAACAGGCAATTAGCAGTTATGCTTGCATTTAGTTCCATCGGCAGCAATATTGAGTAAACTCCAGCTGGACTTTAGGTGTTCATTCAAGACGGAGGGTTTTACTTTGAAAACGATTTGCACACAGAGGTTTACAGTGAAGTTTTAAAGGGGCACTTTTGCCAGAATTAATAATTTAACAAGTGTATTTGTTGTTAACATGGCTACTCACCTCCTGCAGCTGTGCTGACGTCTCTAGGGTAAGATTTTCAAGCTTAAAGATTAGGAAAGCCCCCTTCTGATGAGGTATCTTGAAGGTGGGAGTCACTTTTAACAACTAAAACAGCTTTTGGGTTGATAATTGTGGGCTGTTTGATTTGCATTTTTACCTACTAGATAACGCAGCATTAAACAGACGGCTAATGTTACTGCTAATAAGCTAAATATCACACCTCTATTTATTAGCCTCCTCATGAGTGGCTACGCTAGCAGGATTTATTTCTCATTGTAGAGCAGTTTCCCAGTGATTGTATGAAGTATTTTTGGTGAAATGCATGCTGGGTATTGTAGTGAGAGAAAGGAAAACATGATAACGTTACAGAATTCTCTCAAACTGATGAGGATGAGGGATGCAGTGCTGCGGCCTTCAAAGGCCTTTAATATCATGGGAAACTTAAATTTTCTTGTTTTTTTTTTCAGTAAAAGTGTTTGATGGAAACATTGTTAAACTTTCAAAACATACT